GCTTCGTCAGCGGGCTGCGGGCGCTTCCTGCTGCGGCCTCCGCTCGGCCGGGGGAGCGACCTCCTCCCTGGCAAGGCAGATAACCGGTCTAGAACAGAACAGAACAAAAAAGACGACCCCAAAACCCTGGAGGAAAAAAAACCCAGACCTGAATAGGCCTGTAAAAAGCGCTATTCCGTGGTTAATTGAGCAAGATTCCCAAGTTCATAAATCAAGATGCAGAGTTTGTGGTGTCTTTATGTAGTTACCAGAGCCTGGTGGCCATTCATGCTGCTTGAAACGGTTTTTGGAAACCTCATGAAGTGCGGCATTAAGTACTACAGCTAAGTTGACTCTGTGACTTGAGAAACAGCTTTGTCATTTACATGTTGCTGTTACCGACTCCATTTATTTCAAAAATGACTTTTTAATCGTCAGAAAATCGGTTGTTAAATAGGTACTTATTGTCACAAAATCCAGACTAATGAACAATAATCAAATATAACTAGGCTTTATTAATAACACAGACTTTTACTATTAAACAAGACCTGCAGTCTGTATATGGCTACATGCCTGCCAGTCTGAGCTTGCAGAACTTTAATGTTAATGTTCTGGTTCTCTGGTCCTAGTGTCCTCTTGGTTCAGTCCCTACAGATGTATATCAAATCTTCATATAGTTGTACTTGCTATTGCATTAACATGTCAGCCACCGCAGTGCTGAGTTATGGGTCTGTGCCCTGCAGCTCCTGTGCACCAAGGGACACTTACACAAGGTTCTTCCAGTCGCGATTCACTGTGAACTTAAGATGTTGCTTAAAACATCCTGTCTTTGTATATCTTACGCCTATTTCTGCTGATTATCCTTCTTCCCCTTCCAAAGTTTGAGACTTCTTTTTCAGCAGGGATAACAGTAGAATTTTCTAGAGAGGAAAAAAACAAGTCATTATGAGTTCATGATACAGCGTTTAACAAGGCTTAAAGAAAATCCATTGGCTGCTGATAGGCTGTGCAGATGATTTCTAAATTTCTCGTATGTCTGGCTCATGAGGTTGGTTATCCTTAGTTTGGGTTGGAACTAATGAAAGATAGTGGTAATCAGTTAGCTCCAGGCTTGTCACTCAGATATTGTTATATATGTATAGTTAAAAACAAGTTGAGACAATTATTGCATGTTTTGGAAGCTGAGTACTAATTTACTATGGGCAGAAGGCATTTTCATCAATGTCTTCTGGTTTAATAACAATTACTTGGGGAGAGTGGATTTTCTGATTGGCAGCCAGTCTTCAGACTTAACAGATTCGGAACCTCTGGCAGCGTATGAAGATCTTGTTTTCTCTGACACTGTTAAAAACAATATTATTATTGGTACTTATGCATGGACTAGATAGTATGAAGTAAATTATTGATTACAAATACAATAAAACAGAAACCATATTTCTGAGTAATGGAAGCTGCTATGCGGTATCGCTAGCTGCGCAGCCTGCCAGCAGCTTTCGTAGGGGTTCCTGTGGTGTCTAGTGCGGTGTTGTTCTGTGTCTGGGGTTCTGGTGCTCGGGATCACAAATGTGACATTCTGATGCTGTATCTCCAGCGAAGGGCCAAATTAAATCAGAGCAGGACAAGAGTCTGCAGTATTGTGCCCAGTCAGAGTGTGTCCCCTGACAGGGAGTAACCTTCTGCACCGAAATCACTGCATTGCAGCACTGCATCCCCAGCAATTACGTCATCTGTGATAACATTGGCTGTGGTAATGCCCAAGTACTTCCCATGGCTTGGGTTTTTGTTTTGCTGGGAGGTTTCTTTGTTCAGAGGCTTAATTTCTAAATCACTTTTAAATAAAATTCTGAAAATACAGAGCAACCTATAAAAGAAAAAAAGCAGCTGTTTAATGTTCTCACTAAATGTAGTTACCGTGGTAGTGTATCTCTACAACTAAATTCACATTCTGTATCACAGAAGATTTCTGTCTGCTTCACGAGCAGAATGTGGGTTATAAATTGCTTATTGGAATGTTTTATCGAGTTTTTTTATAGCAACCTACAGAGCTGTGTTAAAAAACAATGAGCCCACTCTGAACTTGAGGGATATTGCAAAGCTAAATTCAATTTAAGCTATTTTGCATAACAAGTTGATGTAGAAATTAAAGGTTAGAAAATAGTCTGATAATAGCAGAAGATGGTTGAGAGAGAGTGGCAGATGCCTTAGAAATAAAATACTTCTTACATAGCATATGTTTTGCAGAGGACGTGGGAGATGAAGGAGAAGAGGAAAAAGAATTCATTTCTTACAGTATCAGCACGGACATTCATTATGGAATAAAATCGAACAGGTGAGTTAGTAAAATAGATCTTGACATTTCTAACCTATGAAGGCAAAACCTACACAAGTAGATTTACCTAATTTACCTGTAAATTTACCTCCAGTTTACCTAGTGCTTCATGCGGTGTTTTTATTCAGGTGGGGCAATGGCTTTTCAAGGTGGAGGCTCTGATAAAACAAGGGTGTGTTGTGAGGCTGAAAGCAATAGACTTAGGACTTATGGCTTCTTGCGGTTTAATCCCGGCCAGCAGCTAAGCGCCAGGCAGCCACTCACTCACTCTCCCTGCAGTGGGAGGAGGGACAGAATTGGAAGGTTAAAAGTGAAAAAACCTGTGGGTCGAGATAAAAACAGTTGAACAGGTAAAGCCAAAAGTCACACACATGAGCAAAGCAAAATGAGGGATTCACTTACTACTTCCCATCAACAGGCACTTGTTCAGCTATCCCCAGGAAGTCAGGGCTCCATGACGCGTAACGGTTACTTGGGAAGACAAACGCCATAACTCTGAACGTCACCCTGCACTTCCTCCTTCTTCCCCCTGCTTTATATGCTGAGCTTGATATCATATGGCATGGAATATCTCTTAGGTCAGTTGGGGTAAGCTGTCCTGGCTGTGTCCTGTCCCAGCATCTTGTGCACACCCAGCCTACTCATTGGTAGGGTGGGATGAGGAGCAGAAAACGTCTTGACTTTGTGTAAGCACTGCTCAGCAACAACTAAAACATCCCTGTAGTATCAACACTGTTTCCAGCACAGATCCAAAGCATAGTCCCATACTAGCTACTATGAAGAAAATTAGCTCTATCCCAGTGAAAAACAGCACATAACTCTGAGGTTAAAGAAACATTTATTAATTTGGCATACATGCAAACATAACATACACAACTTGGGTTTGGTGGTCTTTGGTTATGTTTGATGCTTACGTATTTGTCAGTTACCTTAATGTGTGTTTGACGGTGAAGCTTCATAAGATGTGTGTCTATTTAGCATGCCCATACTGCAGTCCTTACTGATAGCAAAGTCTGGCTAATTACTGAAGTGTAGAGATGTATTTATTGGAAGACTTGTGTTCAAGTCTCTTGGAAGAAATATTATGAAGTATGATGATGCAGGTTAGCGTTTGATTCCTGTGACCTAAACTTGCAGTCAGATTAAAGCTATTCTAACTGTTAAGTTTCAAATGTTGTTGGTAACTCTCTGCTCTGTTCTGCAGCCTGGCGTTCATTAAGCGCACACCAGTGATTGATGCCGACAAACCAGTGTCTTCCCAGCTGAGGGTGCTCACTCTCAGTGAAGATTCTCCGTATGAAACATTGCACTCTTTCATTAGCAATGCTGTTTCTCCCTTTTTCAAGTCCTATATCAGAGAATCTGGCAAAGCAGACAGGTAATTCAGTATAAATACTGCACTTCTCTGCTAATGAATTGAAGTAGGTGTTTAACGAAAAAAATATCAGTGACTGTTTAAGGCAAAGTCGTGTGGAATTGTTTAAACACACAGTTGCATATGATGCTGTTGTTGACTCTGGGGAGGTAGTTCAGCTGGCTTAAATGTGTTGTGTATGGTTTTTGTTCTGGCTTCCTATAAGGAAACATCTGTGCTTTTTCAGGGATGGAGATAAGATGGCGCCTTCAGTTGAGAAAAAGATTGCAGAACTTGAAATGGGCCTCTTGCATCTGCAGCAGAATATTGAAATTCCAGAAATCAGTCTGCCAATTCATGCAACCATTACCAATGTTGCCAAGCAATGTTATGAACGTGGAGAAAAACCAAAGGTTACAGATTTTGGCGAGAAGGCTGAGGATCCATTATTTCTCAATCAGCTACAATCTGGAGTCAACCGCTGGATTAGAGAGATACAAAAGGTAAAAAAAAAAAACCAACCAAGTGCTAGACTATGTGGTAAGAACTTCTGTGTAGCTCTCTGTATCTTCCTACCAGTTTAACTGGTAAAACACTGCTCCACGCACAATACTCTGAAGATCTGAGGCTAGTTTTCTGAGTGATCAGAGATGCTAGTCTAAATTAGATGAAGTTTAGACCAGACTAAGTCTTGTCTAAATCTGGAGTCTAGTATAAATTGTTCTGCAAGTAGCTGAGAGCGTTACTGTTTTATCTCTATTGTAATAGACTCAAGTAACTGGCAGTAACCTTGTGAATTTTGTAACCATTCTTCAAGTCTTTACAGCAGATTGAGAGAAACAGGTCATGTTTCATTTTGTTATTTCCCCAGGTGGATCCACAGCCACTTCAGAACAGTTGCTCCAGTCCTATCTTGTAATCTCTTGTACTCCTGACTGTTAATTTTCAAAACAACTCACTGTTCTTCTGCTGTCACTCAGAAATAGCACCTCAGATACTACTCTGGGTTTTTTTTCCCCCTTCATGGGCCCAGTAAACACCTGTTGCTCATAGAAGAGCAGTGCCTTATCTTAGTCCAGAGCATGAGACATTTGTTCTCTTGCCTGGCTTGTCTGTCATTATCCAGAATACAGGCATTGATTAGGAAGGTGGACAGGTGACCTTTTTGGGCTATGCTGAAGATGTTACATGAAGGTCCTAAAAACAACTTTTAGGGCCCCTGTAATTAAACCTTGACTCTTGTTGCACTGCAGCTTCTACAATTCTTGCAGAATGAGTGCCAAAACCATCTAATGTTGGATCATGAAAACCTAGTAGATGTTATGTGTTTCAACTGTATTTAGTAACAGAACAACTTTATACAGTTGAAGCATGTAAATTAATGCTTTTCTCCCTCGCTTGTCTTTATTACTTTTAAGGTGACCAAACTAGATCGAGATCCTGCGTCGGGCACTGCCTTACAGGAAATAAGCTTCTGGTTAAATTTGGAACGGGCTCTGTACCGCATTCAGGAAAAACGTGAAAGTCCAGAAGTTCTTCTGACTCTGGATATTCTAAAACATGGCAAACGTTTTCATGCAACTGTCAGCTTTGATACAGACACAGGTAAATGTCTTTTCAATAGAATTTTTCACAAATGTCCTATGGAATTTAACCTGTTATGAAACTTCAGCATTGTGGTACAGAGAACAATGCTGTTTAGAGTAACCTTGGTCTAGTTAAAGCTACTGTCTTACAGATTTGATTAATGAAATAAAAAGTTGCATTCGAACTCTCTTCTCTTATATTTAGGTCTAAAACAGGCTCTGGAAACTGTGAATGACTATAATCCCCTGATGAAAGACTTTCCACTGAATGACTTGCTGTCTGCTACTGAGCTGGACAAAATAAGGCAGGCCCTTGTTGCAATATTTACCCATTTGAGAAAAATCAGAAACACAAAATACCCAATCCAAAGGGCATTGCGTTTAGTGGAGGCTATTTCAAGAGACCTGAGCTCTCAGCTACTGAAAGTATTGGGAACCAGAAAACTAATGCATGTTGCCTATGAAGAGTTTGAAAAGGTATGTTCAGGGTTTTGCGGCGCTGGCAGCTGTATTTTCGCATTGTGGCACTGGCGGCTGTATTTTTGCATTGAGTAGTGACTTTAAGGAAGCATTTTTGTTTGGGAGCTAAAGTTCCTATTCTGAAATTCTCTTCAGGTAATGATTGCATGCTTTGAAGTTTTCCAAACCTGGGATGATGAATATGAGAAGCTACAAGTTCTGCTGAGAGATATTGTGAAAAGAAAAAGGGAAGAGAACCTGAAGATGGTGTGGCGTATCAATCCTGCTCACAGGAAACTCCAAGGTCGTCTTGACCAAATGAGGAAATTCAGGCGTCAGCATGAGCAGCTGAGGGCAGTTATTGTGAGAGTCTTGCGACCCCAGGTAATGTTCTTGGTTGTTACCAGACAGAAAATCTGTTCGGCTTCTTGAAGAGTGTTCAACTTCAGAGGTGTTCCTTTTTGCTTTAAAAAGTTACCAACGCAAAACTAATGTAACATTCAATTTCACTGTCTGCTTCCAGAAACAGTCTAGTTTTGAAGCCTTGCTAATAGGCTTAGCTGTAATTCTGACCTACTTCACACGCTACATGATTGTACTCATGTTAGTAGACACAGCAAGTCCAGACTTAACATAGAGGAGATTAATAAGTGTGTAAATACTTGATCTTGGCTAAACCACAGTGGAAAATGAGATTATGCTGCACAGTAGTGAAAGTTTGTAAAGTAACTGTGTTGCCCCATTCCTAGTGGAACTTCAATCTGAAACATGACTGAAAGATTGTTACATGTTTGATACTAATTTGTAGGGTTTTGCAATTCTTGTTAGAACAAATTGTGCTTAGCTATTTGTAGATAAATTTTGCAGCATCCAACTCACAAAACTGTGACTTTAATACAGGTAACTGCTGTTGCCCAGCAAAATCAAGGAGAGGTACCTGAACCACAGGATATGAAAGTGGCAGAAGTCCTGTTTGATGCCGCAGATGCCAATGCAATTGAAGAAGTCAATCTTGCTTATGAGAATGTTAAGGAAGTAGATGGATTAGATGTTTCCAAAGAAGGTACAGAAGCCTGGGAGGCAGCAATGAAGCGATATGATGAAAGAATTGATAGAGTTGAAACAAGAATAACTGCCCGTCTGAGAGACCAGCTTGGTACAGCAAAGAATGCCAATGAAATGTTCAGAATTTTCTCTCGGTTTAATGCCTTGTTTGTCAGACCTCACATTCGCGGTGCCATTCGTGAATATCAAACACAGTTGATCCAGCGTGTAAAGGATGATATTGAGTCTCTTCATGACAAATTTAAAGTACAATACCCACAGAGTCAAGCTTGTAAAATGAGTCATGTTCGTGACTTGCCTCCTGTGTCTGGGTCTATAATTTGGGCAAAACAGATTGACAGACAGCTCACCGCTTATATGAAACGTGTTGAGGATGTCCTTGGCAAAGGCTGGGAGAACCATGTAGAAGGCCAGAAGCTAAAGCAGGATGGAGATAGCTTTCGCATGAAGCTCAACACTCAGGAGATCTTTGATGACTGGGCAAGAAAAGTTCAGCAACGCAATCTTGGTGTGTCTGGTCGTATTTTCACCATTGAAAGCACTCGCGTTAGAGGTCGAAGTGGAAACGTCCTGAAACTGAAAGTCAACTTCCTCCCAGAAATAATTACGCTCTCAAAAGAAGTCCGAAACCTGAAATGGCTTGGTTTCCGTGTTCCACTAGCAATTGTCAACAAAGCTCACCAAGCAAACCAGCTCTATCCATTTGCTATTTCTCTCATTGAAAGTGTAAAAGGCTTTGATTGCAGAAGGAATTGCACTCGTGTGGGAATCATACAAACTTGATCCGTATGTACAGCGCTTAGCTGAGACTGTCTTCAGTTTCCAGGAGAAGGTTTGTTTTATTTTTCAAATTTTGCAAAATTTTTACGTCTGTACTTCAGTAATATGTGGTTAACCAAAAGTGGAAATGGATAGCTGATGACATATTCTGTAGCTCTTTGGCCAGCTGAGTGGATCTTTGAGTACTACTAAAATTGATAGACTTGCTGCATCCAAATAAAGAGAAGTGACTAACCATTACTGCGTAGTTATTGTCAAACTAAACATCCCATTTTTCCTAAACCATTTTAGGTGGATGATTTGCTCATTATTGAAGAGAAAATAGACCTGGAAGTGAGATCGTTGGAAACGTGCATGTATGATCACAAGACTTTCTCTGAAATCTTGAACAGGGTTCAGAAAGCTGTGGATGACTTAAATCTTCATTCATACTCAAATTTGCCAATCTGGGTCAATAAGTTGGATATGGAGGTAGGTTTCAGATCAATGAGTAGTATATATTTAGAGGAAGCATTTTAATCAGGTGCAAAACATTTTTTGATTATGCTCTTTTAGTTACCAGGAGAAAGTTCTTTCTCCCCATTCTCTGAAAATTTTGGTGCATTTTTTGGTAACCAGAAGTTTCAAGACCTGTTTGGTTTTAGCTGTTGACGTTTGGGATCAATGAATTCAAGGGAGGTTTTGTCCTTTGAAGAAAAGAAGCTCAATACAGCTTGACTGCCTGGGAGGTGCTGGGGAGTGAGGTAGATAAAGGGTGGTGAAAATTTGCTATGCCGGTAGCACTCTTTGCCTTTGTATTGTTTGTTTCTGCCTGTTGAGGTAAGTTTCAGGTTATTGGACAGTAGGCCAACTGCAAAGCAGTTAAAATTCTCCATTAGGACGGGAGAAGCTTTGAGTTGATATTTGGTGAAAGTCTACCAAAACTCTTAAACCACTACAATGACTTAGTAAAGGAGCACCTGGTTCTTTGAGGTGCCATAGTGTAGAATATATCTGACACTGGTGTCAGAATATATCAATGGCCGGGATCTTTATGCAGTGAATATGCAGCTTTTTCCTCCACTGTGGCTTATTTTCTTTAGATTGAAAGAATCCTGGGTGTTCGTTTGCAAGCTGGACTGAGAGCCTGGACCCAAGTTCTTCTTGGACAAGCAGATGACAAAGCAGAAGTTGACATGGATACAGATGCTCCTCAAGTGAGCCATAAGCCTGGTGGAGAACCCAAGATCAAAGTAAGTTTTGTTGCGGGGTTTTTTGTTTGTTACTTTTTTCCCTCATTGTCAATTACTTAATTTCTTCTGCCTTTGGTTTTGGAGGAATACTGGTCTCCTCCTATTTCAGTGCAAGCTGATTTTTCAGAAGTGTGTGCTACTTTTTTAAGTCCAAAATTCTTGTCTACATGTAGTATCTGCCAATGAAACTTGAGTGTGTTTACTGTTTCCACAGAACATTGTACATGAGCTAAGAATAACCAACCAGGTGATATACTTGAATCCACCAATTGAAGAGTGTAGATACAAACTTTATCAAGAAATGTTTTCTTGGAAAATGGTAATCCTGTCACTACCAAGAATTCAAAGTCAGAGATATCAGGTGAGTGTAATAAAGCTGTATCTAAGTCCGAGTGATTACTTTCACTTTGCAGTTAATTGTGCTTGATACCTTAGTGTGTTGCTCTGGGACTGAATCTGAGTGCCCTAGAAATTCAGGTATATCACATGTATAATCGCGGTTCTTAGGTTGGAGTGCATTACGAGCTGTCTGAGGAAGAGAAATTCTATCGTAATGCTTTGACAAGGATGCCTGATGGCCCTGCAGCTCTGGAAGAGTCGTACTCTGCTGTCGTGGGAATTGTGACTGAAGTGGAGCAGTATGTCAAGGTAGGAGTCAGCTGCAGCATTAGGTGGTGTCAAAAATGAAAGTGGACTTTTCTCTCGGTTTTCATAAGGGGTAGGGGGTGGACACATGTCTTTTGGAGTATACTGAACGTTGTTTATGAAACGCCTCAATTAGGTTTGGCTGCAGTACCAGTGTCTGTGGGATATGCAGGCTGAAAATATATACAACCGTCTTGGAGAAGACCTGAATAAGTGGCAAGCCCTTCTAGTTCAGATAAGAAAGGCAAGAGGAACATTTGACAATGCAGAAACCAGAAAGGAATTTGGACCTGTTGTCATAGACTATGGCAAGGTAAGAAATTATGATTATTATTTGTGATAAATGCATTAGATTTCAGAATGGGTGTATAACAGAAAATAGCAAGGCCAACAAATTATTATTGTGTAACTTTGTTCAATTGTAGGTACAATCAAAGGTGAACTTGAAGTATGACTCCTGGCACAAGGAAGTGCTCAGCAAATTTGGCCAAATGCTTGGTCAGAATATGACAGAGTTTCATTCACAAATTTCTAAGGTAAGGCAAGTCTGAACTTCAGTTTTTCACGTTCAGATCAACTGTTCTAGACTTCTAAAACACTGATTTATGCCCCAAACAGTCCCGTCAAGAACTGGAGCAGCATTCAGTGGACACTGCCAGCACATCAGATGCAGTGACTTTCATCACTTACGTGCAGTCCCTGAAACGTAAAATCAAGCAGTTTGAAAAGCAAGTTGAGGTATGTTGTCTTGCTAATGGTTCTTACTTCTGGAAATGTCAGGCTTAGCTCTTAAGATGCAGCTTCATGATATTCAGTTTCTCTTGAAAACAGACCTGAACTTCATATCCTGAGGAATCCTGTGAACTCTGTAGTGAGCACTTGTTAACATGTGTGGAGTATTTAGCCTTGCGACTTAAGTCAGTTTTGTGTCTTTAACTTACAATCACTGTCTCTTGTAGCTTTATCGCAATGGTCAGCGCTTGCTTGAGAAACAAAGGTTCCAGTTTCCATCCTCTTGGCTGTACATTGACAACATTGAAGGAGAATGGGGTGCCTTTAATGACATCATGCGTAGAAAAGATTCTGCCATTCAACAACAAGTAGCAAATTTGCAGATGAAGATAGTTCAAGAGGATCGTGCAGTGGAGAGCCGAACAACCGACTTGCTAACAGACTGGGAGAAAACAAAGCCTGTAACAGTAAGTAGTGATGATTAATACTCATTCAGCAAATGAGGTAGTTTCTCTGCGTTCAGTAAAAAGTAGGTAGTTAATTTTTTTTGGAGCTTTTAATTTTAGATGATGGTATTAGTCATTTTGACGGTTCTGTAGAAACTTGCCAGTGTGTTGATTTTTTAGGGGAGTGGCAGAGGGAAATTTACCCTTAAAAAATAGGCCTCTGTTAGATGCAAAAAGCAAGATGACTTCAGTTACAAACAAAGCTTTGGCTGAAACAAGGGTTGTGTCAAGAGGCATGCGTGTAGGAGGATTCAGAAGCACGCTGCTTTTTTGCCCTTTTTTTTTTTTTTTCCTTCCCCTCAAGTGATGTTTAGTAAAGCCAAAAAGTGCATGGAAAAGTGGGATGAGACTTATTCTAGATTAGTGTGTAGCCTTATTGTCAGCAAAAATAATGAAACAGACCAACATTTAATATTTAGTCCTTGCTTTTAACTTCACTTCCACTAGGTTGTAGGGCTTTTTGATTAATGTATTCAATGCCCACTTTAGGGAAACCTGCGTCCAGAAGAGGCTCTTCAAGCTCTTACCATTTACGAAGGAAAATTCGGTAGGCTGAAGGATGATCGCGAGAAGTGTGCGAAGGCCAAGGAAGCTCTGGAACTAACAGATACAGGACTACTCAGTGGCAGTGAAGAGCGTGTCCAGGTACAGCCTGCTCACACAACTTCTGGTCAGTTTTGGAAAAAAATGTTTCTGTTCCATCTCTCTCTCTCTTAAGAGAGTGACTTGTAGCCTGTGGTGTACTAGTGTCAAGACACAGTCTCTACACTTGTTCAGTTCTAGCTTGAAGAGATTGTCACTTGCTATTTCAGTTCTGTTGAATTGGCAAGCTATCAGAAAGTTTATGGTATGTTAAAGGTATTCTGTTTAACTCTCCCACATGAAAGACTTTGACAGAATTAAGAATAACTGCTGATGTGTAATATATTCTTTACTATAGGTAGCCCTTGAAGAGTTGCAGGATCTCAAAGGCGTCTGGTCTGAACTCTCTAAGGTCTGGGAACAGATTGATCAAATGAAAGAACAACCCTGGGTTTCAGTACAGCCTCGCAAGGTACTTAACTTCTGTATACATAAGCAATGTAACTACTGCAAGTATATGCAAATTAAGAATTAGACTTCCTGAGATAGACATGCTCAGTTGTTGTGTTTTACATTGTTTTCAGTGTTTAGGTACCTTTTTAAGTATCTGGTGAGAATGTTTCTTCTAATGCTACACTAAAAATTTTAAGTCACTGGGTTTGTCACAACTTAAATAATTTTGCAGGGGACTTAATGCAATTCTAGTAGTTATGAAATTGAGGTTGGACTGACTGCATCTACAGAGAAGGAACTGTACTGTGTTTAAATAGGCTATTTGGACCTCAGTAGGGAAACTTCATTATATGGCTGGAGGAACAGTTTAGTGCTCAGGAGGTAGAGCGCAATAGCAACACTAAGCCGTAAACTGCCTATGACAATACCATTTCATCTACCTTAATCAGACCAATAAAATTACATTCCCAGCTATAGCGTAACCATATCTTCTGCAAATACACAGAAAGAGCTGTACTGTTGGTAACATCTCATTAGAGAGGTTTCTGTAAAAATATGTAGACAACTGCGAACTTGTACAGCTATGCGCACATCACTTGCCAAGAAAGATTTCACTGCTTTTTTGTTGTTGACAGCTTCGACAAAACTTAGATGGTCTGCTGAACCAACTGAAAAACTTCCCTGCCCGCTTGCGACAGTATGCCTCCTATGAGTATGTTCAGAGACTTCTGAAGGGCTACATGAAGGTAAGATATACTCGTTTATAAATTGCGTGTATTTTATAGTTCAAGTTCAAGAATGTAACATGTCTTCTTGTCTTCTGTAGATAAACATGTTAGTTATTGAACTGAAATCGGAGGCTCTTAAAGATCGTCACTGGAAACAGCTGATGAAAAGGCTTCATGTTAACTGGGTTGTCTCAGAATTGACGCTGGGTCAGATCTGGGATGTGGATTTACAGAGAAATGAAGCAATCGTCAAGGATGTACTGCTTGTGGCTCAGGGAGAGATGGCTTTGGAGGAGTTCTTGAAACAGGCTAGTATCAGCTCTTGTATGTATGCACGTAATAGCAAATCAAAGCCTTGTTGTCAAGTGGCTGGCACTTGTGGAGTAAACTTGTCCATCTAAGCTTTTGATACAGGTGCTGGGACTCCGTGGAACACTATTTTGGGGAACAGCTTAAAGCTATGTAAGCTTACTCTGATAATACTTGCATTATTTGGGAAAAGCAGTCCTTGATGATGACTGCAAAGACCACTAACTGCATCATATTCTCGATATTTTTAACAAAAGCTTGAGCAGAAACACAGAATCTTTGGGTAAAAAAGGTAAAATCTGATTACTGTAATACATTTCTACTTGAACTATGTTGGAGCAGAAATGATTGATGTCATGTCTTAAACTTTTTTTTCATCAGATAAGAGAAGTGTGGAACACTTACGAACTGGACTTGGTCAATTACCAGAACAAATGTCGTTTGATTCGTGGATGGGATGACCTTTTCAACAAAGTAAAAGAGCACATAAACAGTGTGTCTGCTATGAAGCTATCACCGTACTACAAGGTAAAACGGAGAACAAAGCTAAGGAATGTTCATTTAATCCTACCTTCCTTTCTTGTTTGGTTTATATATTTGCCAGCAGGGACTAGATTTACTGTTTCAGGTGATGAACAATTAATTGCATATGCACACTTTGTAACTCTCAAACAGCTGTTTCCATTAAGGATTATTAGTGGTCAAACTCTTGACACTATTAAAATGAATACTAATGCAGCATTTGAACTTTAGGTGTTTGAGGAAGATGCCCTTAGCTGGGAAGATAAGCTGAACCGTATCATGGCACTGTTTGATGTCTGGATAGATGTCCAAAGGCGATGGGTCTACCTCGAGGGTATCTTTACTGGCAGTGCAGACATCAAGCACTTGCTGCCTGTGGAGACCCAGCGGTTCCAGAGGTAACTTTATAATTGCTTTGTTCTTTTTGTGCATCCCTTGGGGCACCATGTGGACAGGCCTGCAACTTCATGACTTCAGCGTAGCACTCTCTAAATTGAAATGCTAATTGTATTCTTACCCGGTCCAGCTGGATTACAGCCCTGCTGTAGATGTAAGTTTGTCAAGCAAACAAATATGGCAAGAGGTGCGTGTAGACAACTGTGACAGAATAAGTTTTGTAATAAACAGGCTGATGTGCAAGTTTTAGAAGATGATTTGTATTCAGGTGGTTTTTCTTGCCAGTTCCAGTCAGCTACCTTAAAGATTTTTCTGGAATTATGGCTGCAACAAGCAGCCTGATTTCTGTGGCTGTAGCCTTTAGTCTCACCCTTCAAATGTCATTTTGTTCCTCCACTTTAAGTTGCTGTGGCCATCCTTACTCATCCCACACACTTGCAGTCAGATCAAAGAATCAGATCTATGCATCTCTTCAGGAAATGAAGAAGAGTAGACCTACAGCAGTGGAACTGATAGATTGAACGTAGCAGCAAAGTTAGATATTGTTGTTGTTGTGGACTTGAGGTAGGTGAAGAGCTATTTTGTGGATTTATCCTTGTGTTCCCTAGGGCAGCCGCAGCAATTAGAGAGGCAGTGGTCCTTTAGAGACAAACAGCTTTGGTGTTCTGCAGGCCTGCGGTTACTGAGTTTGCACTAATGTACTGTGTTATTTTACTTGCAGCATCAGCACTGAATTTTTGGCACTCATGAAGAAGGTGTCCAAATCTCCACTTGTGATGGATGTTCTTAACATTCAAGGTGTGCAAAGGTCGTTAGAGAGACTGGCAGACTTGCTTGGGAAGAGAAAGAAGGCACTGGGAGAATACTTGGAAAGGGAGAGGGTCTCTTTCCGGAATTGGTGTACTGTTCTGTAAAGCCTCTGCCATTTTTTATTTATTGCATATATGTAAGATGTTGTGACCATTTAAATCTGTGGTGTGTAAATACAGAAATTAGTTGTAGCTACGTCTCAGGAAGTGGGACTAAAACTTCCCTTACTTGCTCATCCGTGGCTGGTTGTAGGATTCAGATATTGCTAAAGGAACCATTGCAGTTGATTTCTGTAAATTTAACGGTTCTGTTTTGAACTGCTTAATTCTGGCATTTGATTGAAGGACAGTAGCTAAACTGTCACAATCCAGTATTTAAGTCATTGGTTCTGACTTACCTGGTAGTCTTCAACTAGTCTGTCACTTAGTATGAGAGAGTAAGGGTGATGGAGGTACCAAGTGGGAGTTCTCCTTGCCTAATAGACTTAATTCAGTCCCAGGCTCTACTGTGGGTATTTCAGGGGTGGACAGGTAAAGAAGATGATCTGCAGTACGGAGCATGTGTACACTTTTGTATGCTATAGACCACATGAACTGAGACTTAATCTTAGAACTGAAATGTAACCTAGCAAATGAGTATCAGTTACTCCTGTATAGTGAGCCTTCTGTGAAGCATAAATAAAGGTGATAGTTGGAGTTCTGATACAGGTCTAATTTTATGTAATTATTAGGTTTTATTTTGTTGGTGATGAAGACTTGCTTGAAATCATTGGAAACAGCAAAAATGTTGCTAAGCTGCAGAAACACTTCAAGAAGATGTTTGCTGGTGTTTCTAGCATTATTCTCAATGAAGACAATTCTGTGGTTCTTGGGATATCCTCACGTGAAGGAGAGGAGGTATGGCTGCAGTGTTTCTTTTTAAATAAAATACTGAAAACAAGTGAATGTGGGCTGACTTAAACCTAATTCTTGCAGGTGCTGTTCAAAACACCTGTTTCCATCACAGAACATCCCAAGATCAATGAGTGGCTCACTCTCGTTGAGAAAGAAATGAGAGTGACCCTTGCTAAATTGCTCGCAGAATCGGTTACTGAAGTAGAAATCTTTGGAAAAGCAACTTCGATTGATCCAGCAGTCTACATTTCTTGGATTGACAAATACCAGGTATCAATATGGAACACTTAAGCATACTGCAGCTTCATTACTTCAGTGAGGAAAACTATCTGATGAGGAATTTTGTTACACAGGCTCAGCTTGTTGTCCTGTCAGCCCAGATTGCATGGTCTGAGAATGTCGAGTCAGCCCTCAGTGGTGTGGGTGGAGCTGGAGACAGCAGTTCTATCCACGCAGTGCTAGCTAATGTTGAGGTCACACTCAATGTCCTGGCAGACTCTGTGCTGATGGAGCAGCCACCTCTTCGCAGAAGGAAACTGGAGCACTTGGTAAGTAAAAACCTCCTTTCCTCTTCCGGATTCACAGGTGAGGATTTTTAGAAGTTTAATGAAAAAACTGATTAGTCTAAGACTTATTTTTCCTCTATGAAAAAGTTTCATGCAATTTAAGCAACTGCATCAAGCCGTGATCCTGTAGATGGTGGTAGTTTTTCGCTCTAGTCAGCGTACTGCATGATAGCATATTATAGACTCGCTCACTGAATTGATCTTCAAACTAGTTCTTCCAAATATGGAAATTACCAATTTCTTCATTCAAAAGAAAAATATCTTATTAAGCTGCTGCTTATCATAATTATTGTATGCTTTTGTTTGTAGGTAAGGATTGGGGGGGGGGGGTAGGGGGGAGTTAAAACATCCTGGGTGATTTTTACAGGGAAGTATCTGGTCTGTTTTACGAGTACTTGTCTTCCTAGTTTCTGGCAAGTAAAATATCTGGTTCAGTAGTGTAATGGATTAACAGACTAACTGGACCAGAGTGCTTTGCTGAAAGCTAGGGAAGTCCTTAGCAAGAGCAGTCAACATTACAGAATGACAGAATGGTAGGGGTTGGAAGGGACCTCTGTGGGTCATCTAGTCCAACGCCCCCGCTGAAGCAGGGTCACCTACAGCAGGCTGCACAGGACCTTGTCCAGCCAGGTCTTGAATATCTCCAGAGAAGGAGACTCCACAGCCTCTATGGGCAGCCTGTTCCAGTGCTCCGTCACCCTCAGAGTGAAGAAGTTCTTCCTCATGTTCAGACGGAACTTCCTCTGCTTCAGTTTGTGCCCATTGCCCCTTGTCCTGTCAGTTTTGTCTTTGTTAGTTTTGTCTTTGTAGCAACAGATTCTAAGGCAGAGACTGTTGGTAGGTTGTGATTTCTAACTGATGGCAATTTACGATGCTAGTCTGAAAAGCTATAGGATTCCTGGCTTTATTAGCAATGGCCTGTATTGCTGTGATCTAAGGAGTTACTTCATTCTCCAGATCACGGAGTTGGTGCACCAGAGAGATGTTACAAGATCACTGATCAAAAGCAAGATCGACAACTCCAAATCCTTTGAATGGCTCAGCCAAATGCGATTCTACTTCGACCCAAAGCAGACAGATGTGTTGCAGCAGCTCTCCATTCAGATGGCAAATGCCAAATTCAACTATGGTTTTGAGTACCTTGGTGTTCAGGATAAACTGGTACAGACTCCTCTTACTGACCGCTGTTACTTGACGATGACGCAAGCCCTGGAGGCAAGACTTGGAGGATCACCGTTTGGTAAGTTTGTACTGAAGTACAATAAAAACCTGAGACAAGTATATAAACTCTTATCCTCTCTAATATATAACTTCAGTGTAAACATGCAGAACAGTTACAACTAAGATACTGAAGAACAAAACAGTCTTTTGAGGGAAGTTGCAACAGTTTTAGGTTTCACTGAACCCTCTTGTCAGAGCCCATCAGAATCAGCATGCTACGCAGTGGTACCTCAGATGATAAACACTAAAAGGTGTCTGTCCCACTTGAAAAATAGGTCCTGCTGGTACTGGGAAAACAGAGTCTGTTAAGGCTCTCGGACATCAGCTTGGCCGCTTTGTGTTGGTTTTCAACTGTGATGAAACATTTGACTTCCAGGTAAGCTGTTTGATTAAAAAATGTAGTCTTTGCTAACAAGCAGTATGAATCTCTTCAGAAATCTGAAACAGCCAGCAGTGTTTATTTTCAAGATGGTTATCTGTAAGTCTTAACTGAGCTAGTATCTGTGGGTCATATAGCTGCTTTGTAACAAAAGATGCCTAAAGCAGAAGTGGGACAGAAAACATTTCTGGAGGAGGGGTTCTGGTTTATTAGAACAGGTAGTTCTGGAGCAGCAGATGGAGGGAAAGGAAGTATGGGGTGGGGGCTCAAGACTGGCTTTAGGAAAGTAACTTAAACTGTTTAGTTTGCATTGATAGTACTGGTTGAATGGAGAACGCATGAGTGTGTGAGACTGCCAGAGTAGCTGTACTATTACGGGATTACCCTTTGCGACATGATGCCCTGAAATGTGAAAAAATCTTCAAAACTAAGAAAATTACACAGGTGGTTCAATATTGATGACATTGTCAAACATGAGACCAGATGAAATGCCTCTGTAAACTGTAACACAGCAAATGTCTCAAAATAAAATCCTTGGTCAGGTGTATATATAAAAAAACAGTATAAAACACGGGCAAGGAATCACGATGCTGCATGGGCTCTGCCAGGTTGCCCATCTGGGGGTTTTTTTTCCTGTACAACTGTATTTCGATCAGACCAGGGGTCCATTTAGTCAGCATTTGGCCAGAAGTGGTGACTGTAAGAAAATACCTAGGGAGTAGTAAGATCACAGATTGTGCGTGGTAATCCTTCCTTGCCCCCAGTCCTGTTCCTGCCTCTAACAGTTCTGAGGATTAGTAGGTCTCAAGCAGAAATGGGTTACTCTATTCGCTCCAGTGAACCTTTCTTCAGGTACTCATTTCTCCCCTTAAATCCACAGGCACGCTTGCTTCTACAGCATTCTCTACTGAAGATTTCCACTGCATTACTATGCACTTTATGAAGGAGCACCTTCTTTTGTCTTTTTTATGATTCCTTAGTTCATGTAGTGGAGAAAGACAGTGAAAAGTTGATTCCTGTTTGTCCTAAACCAATGGCTATTAGACCTCCATCGTATTTCCTCATACTGACTTCTGTGGAATCCTGCCTTAAAGGTTGTTCTTTAGGTGGATGCCTTACCATACTCTGGCCATCCAATTTGCTCGTCTGAAATGTTTCGTAATTCTAGTATCCTCCTTGCGATAAAGCACTAAAACTGCACCTGGTATTAATGGGATCAGCAAACAAAACATTATGCAGTGGACTTATCTTGACTGTTTTGTGAATACACTGGAGTATAGTACGTAGTAATAGGAAGTCAGAACCCTTTTACAACTCTTACAGTACTACAAAGATGGTAACTTACGTACAAATACATCTCCTTCCTGCCTTGGGTGCATTGTATAAAGTGCTGTTCTCTACTCCCTTTGCCTGTGCACAGACAAGAATGATCATGCAACTTCAGTGAATTTTCCCCTCTACGTGCAGGCAATGGGACGCATCTTTGTGGGACTTTGCCAAGTGGGTGCGTGGGGCTGCTTTGATGAGTTCAACAGACTGGAGGAGCGTATGCTCTCTGCTGTTTCACAGCAAGTTCAGTGCATTCAGGAAGCCTTGCGAGAGCATTCCAACCCCAACTATGACAAGAGTACGTAATTGTTTATTCCTAAAAGTGTTGTACAGCATCTCTAACATACTTCATGCTGTTTTATTGCTCAGTTACATTTCTCCCAAACAATCTTAAGGATTAAGCCACTTTCTGTCAAAACTTAAAAACATGAATAACTTTCAGCTGGTAGATACTTGTATTTCAGTATTTGAGTTGCATTGCTAGAGGACCTGCTATCTGTTACTGTAGGAAACTAAAACAGAATAAAGTATGACTTCTCAGGGTGATTGATCACTGACTCAGATGTAACTAAATGCACTCTCTTTTCAGCTGCAACACCTATTACTTGTGAGCTGCTGAACAAACAAGTCAAAGTGAGCCCTGACATGGCTATCTTCATCACCATGAATCCTGGCTATGCAGGCAGATCAAATCTGCCTGACAATTTGAAGAAGTTGTTCCGTAGCTTGGCAATGACAAAACCAGACCGTCAGTTGATTGCCCAGGTCATGTTGTACTCCCAAGGTTTCCGTACGGCTGAAGTGCTTGCCAATAAGATAGTACCGTTCTTCAAGTGAGTAACAAGTTTGGCTCTAATCAGTAAAAGTAGAGCTTATTGTTCAAAGTTGTAACGTTCTTTGCCACTCACTAACCACGTTGTGCAGCAATAATTTCAAGCAGTGATATTACTGAGTGTTGTGTTGGTCCATATTGAGAATCAAATTGTATTTTATCTCTTTTTCTTCTTAGGCTTTGTGATGAACAGCTGTCCTCCCAAAGTCACTATGATTTTGGCTTGAGAGCACTGAAAAGTGTGCTGGTTAGTGCAGGTAATGTGAAGAGGGAGAGGATTCAGAAGATAAAGCGGGAGAAAGAAGAGCGTGGTGAAGTTGTGGATGAGGGAGAAATCGCTGAGAATTTGCCAGAACAAGAGGTAATGTGTGTGCGAACTCTTTACTTCTGTGATAAAGTACAGAATGCACACTAAACAAAGCAAATAGTCCTGCAGTGTTTACCATTTAGTGTTAAGCCATGCAAGCAAAGTAGTGTTAGTTACAGAAGCTGGTAACTGGATAGCTTAGAAGCACCAAGTTAAACATGTCTTAGGAGTCCCTGAATCATAGTGAAAGACTTGTTCTTACGAGGTGGTGCATTCGTAACACTTACTGCTGCTTAGTTCCTCAGCAGTGAATACCAAAAGCATAATAAAGAGGCGTAAGAAACTACAACTGTATAAGCTGAAAATCAATAGGAATTCATTGTGTAGTTTCAAAGTTGAGACCCCCATCAATGGTTGTTTTTACTAAAATCACCATGGTCTGATGCTTTATGAAGAAAGTATTTAGTGAAGTATTCCTTGTCAAACACATTTGGTAAAGCAAACTTCACAAAAAATCTTAACCAAACCATGACTCTCTGCAGATCCTGATCCAAAGTGTATGTGAAACTATGGTACCAAAACTGGTTGCAGAAGACATTCCTTTGCTGTTCAGTCTGCTTTCTGATGTATTCCCTGGAGTACAGTATCATCGCGGGGAGATGACAGCCTTGAGAGAGGAGCTTAAGAAAGTGTGTCAGGAAATGTACCTTACTTACGGTGATGGAGAAGAAGTTGGTGGCATGTGGGTTGAAAAGGTAAAATATTAAAACCGAAAATGTGGGATTGAGGTTAATGAATGTAGAAGACTAAACTTCCTTTTTAATATGAAAGGTGGAAAGCTTTTTCCTTTTTCTTGTCTGAAGTGAGCAATATATAGAAGCTTAGATTGACTACTGAAGTTAAGACTTAATTGGTACATAATTTTTTTGTCACAGGTTCTTCAGCTGTATCAGATTACACAAATAAATCATGGATTGATGATGGTCGGTCCCTCTGGAAGTGGAAAGAGCATGGCCTGGAGAGTACTTCTGAAAGCCCTCGAGCGGCTGGAGGGCGTGGAAGGTGTTGCTCATATTATAGATCCAAAAGCAATCAGCAAAGATCACCTCTATGGTACTTTGGATCCAAACACCAGAGAATGGACAGATGGCTTGTTTACACATGTCCTGAGAAAGTGAGTCTTTAATAGCACAACTCAAAAATGGCCAGTGCGTTTGTGCCGTGGATATTCTGGCCTTACTGAGTCTTTGTTCTCTACTGCAATAAATATTTCCTTTAATGCAGAATCATAGACAACGTGAGAGGTGAATTACAGAAACGTCAGTGGATTATCTTTGATGGTGATGTAGACCCTGAATGGGTTGAGAATCTAAACTCTGTTTTGGATGACAACAAACTACTGACTCTGCCAAATGGAGAACGTCTCAGCCTCCCACCAAATGTAATGTTACTTTTTTGCTACATGATATTTATGTGCTGTCGTATAAACTTGTTGCTTTTACCTTAGTCCATACTGGTGCTGTCCCTCTTTCTCATCACAAGCAGAGAAATACTGATCTCGGGTAGTGGTTTGCTGGAGTTAGGAACTTGTGAGGAATCAAACATCTCATGTTATGCTTACTCGGACCCTGTGAGACAAACTTTGTGGAATATATAAAAGTCTAGGGTAACAATCAATAATGATGAACTTACCTTAGGGTAGTTTACTGCTGCTGTTGATTACTTAGAGACCAAATACAAATTAACTTATTTTTAAAGTTTTCTGGGTTTTGGAGGGGAGTTTTTTGTTTTGTTTTGCTTTTGTTTGTTAGTTTTTACTTCAAACTCTTGTTTTCGATTTCTACTCTTCAGGTGCGTATCATGTTTGAGGTACAGGATCTGAAATATGCCACTTTGGCTACTGTGTCAAGGTGTGGCATGGTCTGGTTCAGTGAGGATGTTCTCAGTACAGACATGATATTCAATAACTTCCTGGCCAGACTAAGAAGCATTCCTCTGGATGAAGGTGAGGAGGAAGCTCAGCGAAGGCGGAAGGGCAAAGAAGATGAAGGAGAAGAAGCAGCATCACCAATGTTGCAGGTATAACTTAGATTACATTATGGGATAATGTAGTAAGAACAATTCTATCACAAGTTGTACGGTGTACTTCGAATTTATGAGAGCCTGTTACAGAAAAGCTGACTTTTCGCTTTACATTTTTTTCTTGTTTTTGAAGAATATTAAAATACAAAGCATTTCAAACCTTAAATAAAATTATTTCCTTCTGCCTGGTAGTCAAATGAGAAGCAAGTGCTTTGAGCAGTGTTTGTCTCCCCCCAACAGATTCAGAGAGATGCTGCAACAATAATGCAGCCATATTTCACATCTAATGGCCTGGTAACTAAAGCACTTGAACATGCTTTCAAGCTGGAGCATATTATGGATCTCACCCGCTTGCGCTGCCTTGGTTCTCTGTTCTCCATGTTGCATCAAGCTTGCCGCAACGTAGCCCAGTACAATGCCAATCATCCAGACTTTCCCATGCAGATAGATCAACTCGAGCGTTACATCCAGGTAAATATGATAGGCTGGTAAGTGACTGCTGTGTTTGACATGTCAGTATAGCAGCTAGATTTGATTTATTGTTCATTAAGTTCTGTGCCATTACTCTAAAGCCAATAGCTGCTTTTGCTGCTTCTTACAGAGGTACCTGGTCTATGCAATACTCTGGTCTCTTTCTGGAGACAGTCGTTTGAAAATGAGAGCAGAGCTGGGAGAATACATTAGGAGAATCACCACTGTGCCACTGCCAACTGCACCCAACATACCTATAATTGATTATGAGGTAAATCTTTCTTATGCTAGAAGTGTTGCTCTTTTGTGTTCTTAGAAGCTTGCATTAGATTTTGGAGATGAAACTGGAAAATGAAATGCTAGACTATCTTAAATTTTACAGTTTCACAGTTCCATGAACAAACTGCCTGCTTAAATAAATCCAATTTGATGCTACAAACTATTCTGTGGTTTAAAAAAAAATACTCTCTTTTAACTGAGGCTGCGCTATATTCCTGTCCTAAATTGTCTGATCATGTTTTTGTGCTCCTAGGTGTCCATTACAGGTGAATGGGTGCCATGGCAATCCAAGGTTCCTCAAATTGAGGTTGAAACACACAAAGTTGCAGCTCCTGATGTTGTAGTACCAACCCTAGATACAGTTCGCCACGAAGCATTGCTGTATACTTGGCTGGCAGAACACAAACCTCTAGTACTGTGTGGCCCACCAGGTTCTGGAAAGACCATGACGCTTTTTAGTGCTCTCAGAGCTCTGCCTGACATGGAGGTACACAAGAGAGAGAGTGTGTGTGCGCGCGCACGTATGAATTACAGAGTAGTAACAAGTCTCTAATCTCCTTGAAGGTTAAAGCGGTCTTGGTTTAGCATGGGAATTATTTGCTAGCCGGAATTCAGTGATACCGCCACCTCAGTCAGTCATGTGTATACATAGTAGAAATAAAAATTATATTGAGCAGAATCTAAGTTAATGTCTCAAGATCCTTAACCTATAAACTACTTTCTTCCTCTGTCACTTCAATAATACAGGAGCATTCCTCCGTTTAGTATCTAAAAACCATGCCAATGTTTAAGAACAGCTCTCATCCTTCAGTGTATTTAGGTGGAGAAACAGTTGTATGAAGCTGTGGTGCTCTGAAGTACGAGGTTGGGCAGGAGGTATTGCCGCACGGTAAATGGAAAACCTGCAGTAGGAAGCAAACAGTATACAGTCAGAATACAGGCAGTAACCCAAAATATACTATAAAGTATGTGTATTTAGTGTATTTTAACGGTTTCTTTTCACTGTTCTATTTTTAAGGTGGTTGGACTCAACTTTTCTAGTGCTACTACTCCAGAACTGCTTTTGAAGACTTTTGATCACTACTGCGAGTACAGGCGTACACCTAATGGAGTGGTGCTTGCTCCTGTGCAGTTAGGAAAGTGGCTGGTGCTGTTCTGTGATGAAATTAACTTGCCAGATATGGATAAGTATGGCACACAGAGAGTTATATCCTTCATTAGACAGGTTTGTTTTTGTTTGTAATGAACTATATCATAACAGTTATTTTCCGGGAACTACAATGTTCCACTGATTTTATTTTACCTTTTTTTTTTTTTCGCAGATGGTGGAACATGGAGGTTTCTATCGTACATCAGACCAGACATGGGTGAAACTGGAGCGAATTCAGTTTGTTGGTGCATGTAATCCACCTACCGATCCTGGAAGAAAACCTCTCTCACATAGGTAGTGTATCCAGTAAACTCTATATAGCAACAGAACGGGTCAAAATTGAAGCATTGACTATGTAATCTGTTCTTAATACACTTGTTTAACACCAGCTGTGCTGAAATTGTGTTCCTTGCTTTTGAACTAACTGCTAGTTGGTTCTTACCCTGACAGCCAATGGACTCAGTGTAACACTTCTTGAATAACCTGTCTGAAATGCTGTGGATATCTCAGAATGCTTTTTGGTCTGAATCTCTAAGGAGCAGTCAAATCCACTGCAGTTGCTGCTGATAGTTTTTAATCAAGCTGTTATTTAGTTCTGGCAAAAGATAATGAAAATAAAATAGACTGTAATTTGACTTTCTGGATTGTCTAATATGCTAATCTTTCAGATTTTTACGACACGTTCCTGTGGTTTATGTGGACTATCCTGGACCAGCTTCACTGACTCAGATATATGGAACATTCAATCGTGCAATGCTAAGGCTGATCCCGTCACTTCGCACATATGCAGAGCCTCTCACTGCTGCTATGGTAGAATTCTACACAATGTCTCAGGTAACTTCTTAAATACCACCCCAGACTCTAATTAGAAGTCTTCCTTTTCTGCTGAATCGTATAACATGCACTGTTTGCCTTTCAAATGGATAATATGTGTACAAGAACTCAACTAATTACTTGAGTTCTGGTGAACGGCACTGAATGATGCTAGCAAAGTAATATCTTGCAATGCCAAGACCTGTAAAAAATATGGTGCAACTTTGGGATGAAGTAACTAATGAAGTTTAAATTTTTAGGAGAGATTCACTCAAGACACACAGCCACACTACATCTATTCACCTCGTGAAATGACTCGATGGGTGAGAGGTATATTCGAAGCATTAAGGCCACTAGAAACCTTACCAGTTGAAGGCCTTATCAGGATTTGGGCCCATGAAGCCTTACGTCTCTTCCAAGACAGGTAAAATAAACATGAGATGGGGAAGCCAAAAAAAAAAGAAGTTTAAAATTTAGTTTTCCCCACTCCTTGCCAACTTTCGTTAAAGACCAAACTGAAGTGTGCTTCATGTTAAATAGCTGGAATACAAATGAGAATATTTCCCTTCACTCTGACACTCTTGGGAGTGGTATCTGCAAAGCAGAAACGTACTTTGGTCGTAGTACTACCATGTGATGCGATTGTATCCTCCCACTGCAGAGGATTTGCAGTCACTGACTTGTTTCATTATCCAGACTTGTAGAAGATGAGGAGAGACGCTGGACTGATGAGAACATTGATATGGTTGCTCTGAAACACTTCCCCAATATCGACAAAGAGAAAGCTATGAGCAGACCTATCTTATACAGCAACTGGCTGTCAAAGGTGAGTAAAAATTTAAAAAAAAAAATAAAAAACCTAAGTCGTTTGGGAGCAACTGGGTGATGCAGCTCTCATGACTGTATTAACACGATAATCAGTGCCCATCATTTTGTTAAACTGATTTCCAAGAAGTTCTTACTGTGATTATCTGAAGTGAACTCTACCACAAAATTAACAGCTGTTATGCCAGGGATGCTATTGTAAGATCTGCCACAGTATGTAAAGGCAATGTTAAATAATATTTCTCAAGAGCAGTATAATGCTCCCAGAAAACTACTGACAGTTATTGCTCTTGGATAAGGCAGTGACCCTTGAACAATACTAATACTACAGATATTTATGGTGGACTATTTCTTGCCATCTGAAATGATCCAGCTGGGCAGTCTGTAGAAATCCTGCTGGGTGAAGGCAAAAGTCCATCTAGCCTGCTACCCATCTTTGTGACTAACAGCAAGTGGCTAGGCAAGGCTATTTAAAATGAACTAGGGGAGCGAGGGAGTGGAAGTAAGTCTGTCATGCTATTTCCCAGTCTCTTTAGTGACTAGCAGTGCAGGCTCAACCTATGGTAGGTTCAGTAGAGACAGTGTTTAAACACCATGCCACTATCTGTGGCCTTCCAGTGTGTGGACATGTTCCTGTGCAAGTTAAATGAGTGCAGCATTCCTAAGCTTTTTTAGGGGATTGCTGCTTTAAGTATTCTGATAGTTCTGCTTTCACCTACTCATAAATTGATCCCTAAGCAAAATTCCCTTAAATTCCAATCTGTGTTGACTGGTTCTTCTAGGATTATATTCCAGTGGATCAAGAGGAATTAAGAGACTACGTGAAAGCTAGGCTTAAAGTCTTTTATGAAGAAGAACTTGATGTACCACTTGTTCTGTTCAATGAAGTCTTGGATCATGTGTTAAGAATTGACCGGTAAGTTGAGACTTCAGTTCCTGCTTGTATAAATAATATTCAAACACTTTTTCTAAAACAGAGTAGCCTAAGTGAGAATAGAGCGTGATCCCATTGTTGTCCATAGACAATACACTGCTGGCCTCCAGATAGCAGGATGCTGTCTGGAAAGGTGTGTAGGTTTTGGTACTAACTTGAAGTTTAGGTGTTCAAGGAAAAGCTTTGATAAGTTGATAACACTTATCAAATGTACTTGGTTATGTTCTTTTTCAGAATCTTCCGTCAGCCACAGGGCCACTTGCTGCTTATTGGAGTCAGTGGAGCAGGAAAAACAACCCTCTCAAGATTTGTTGCCTGGATGAACGGTTTGAGCGTCTACCAAATTAAGGTTGGCGTGCTAGTTTAATTTAAAAAAAACCCGTAGTCAAAATTCACACTTCTTAAATACCAACCCCTAAAAAGTCCCAGTAAAATCTAAACCAAAATGTTAATAAACAATGTTAAATCTTACTAGGTTCACAGAAAATACACAGGTGAAGATTTTGATGAAGACCTTAGGACAGTGTTGAGACGTTCTGGCTGTAAAAATGAAAAAATAGCTTTTATAATGGATGAGTCAAATGTGTTGGATTCTGGATTCCTGGAGAGAATGAACACACTCCTAGCCAATGGAGAGGTAAGAGGATTTTAAGTAAATACTTCAAAAACCTTTTTGCTACTATAAGATACAACAAAATTATTTTTTTGAATTAGGTTCCTGGTCTCTTTGAAGGAGATGAATATGCCACCCTCATGACTCAGTGTAAAGAAGGAGCACAGAAAGAAGGTTTAATGTTAGATTCACATGAAGAACTCTACAAATGGTTCACCAGCCAAGTTATTCGCAATCTCCATGTTGTGTTCACTATGAATCCATCTTCTGAGGGCCTGAAGGACAGGGCAGCTACCTCTCCTGCGCTCTTCAACAGGTATTGCTGTATATTCCAACATGCATTACAAATACTGTAAAACAGTATTTTTTGAGAAGACTTCACAAATGCTTTGTATTTCAGGTGTGTCTTGAACTGGTTTGGAGACTGGTCAACTGAGGCACTGTACCAAGTTGGCAAAGAGTTCACAAGCAAAATGGATCTTGAGAAACCAAATTATATTGTGCCCGATTACATGCCAGTTGTGTATGACAAGCTACCACAGCCACCATCGCACAGGGAAGCTATTGTTAACAGTTGTGTGTTTGTTCATCAGACTCTCCACCAGGTGTGTTTTTATTGTCTTGCTCAACTTGTGTTGATCTCTAGGCCACAGCACCATGCATCAGTTTCCTAAAAAGTATGGTCTTTGGCAGTTGAATATGTTTAAAACCAATGCGTAATCTACAATTCCTTCTTCCCGAAAGGCTAATGCTCGACTGGCAAAACGAGGAGGCAGAACAATGGCAATCACACCACGCCACTATTTGGACTTCATCAACCATTATGCAAACTTGTTCAATGAGAAACGAAGTGAGCTGGAGGAACAGCAAATGCATTTGAATGTTGGCCTTAGAAAAATCAAGGAAACAGTTGATCAGGTACGTATCTTTAAAATTTTGCCCTGTATAAGGCTGGAGTGAGTAGATCCCTGTATTTAATCTGATTTCTCCCATCTTACAATCCATCTCAGGTGGAAGAATTGCGGCGTGACCTAAGAATAAAGAGTCAGGAACTGGAAGTGAAGTTAAATTTATGTGCATAGTAAATATTTTTATTTACAAAACAGACCCTGCAGAGCAAGTACTAGAAGAAGTTCAGCTTCTAAAAAGCAGTATTTTATCTGTGCGACTTCCTCCTAGGTCATGAGCCAGGAGATTCAGGAACAGCTGCACAAGCAGCAGGAGGTCATTGCAGACAAGCAGATGAGCGTGAAGGAAGATCTCGACAAGGTGGAGCCTGCTGTCATTGAAGCTCAGAACGGTATGTTAGCACCTGAAGAGATCACACTGTGAGACTGGATCTAAAACAGAAGTCTATGGGAATGCATGTTGGTGTGGTCTGAGTTGGTCCTGCCTAATAAAAGTGTAGACTCTTACAGTGTTGAAGAAATTCGTAATCTTTGAGCTCTGATTTTGTGCTGTTTGTAGTGTTGATCTGATACTTGATAACTCTTTAATGGCTTGTGGCTTTGCTTCTGGCAGACCAGCTGTAGTTATTTATTCAGTCTATTTATCTATAAAGAAACCTCATAAGCGGAAAGACCACTGGTGCCTTATTTACCATACAGGCGGCATACAATCAAGCTGTCCATTCATTAAACTGGATAGAGGAGTCATTGCTTATAATAAAGCTTAAAGTGATTCATTTGTAGGCAGCAGAAAAAGTTGCCTTTGGCCAGTTGGCAGATTGATATTCACAAAAGTTTATCATGTGATCCAGTAGTTTGAATGTTATCCACCAGTATCTGCTTCTCTAATAATATCAAATATCTCTTGAGACTCTTGAAGCATTTTTACTAATCCAAGGTACTTTAATAGCATGGATTTTGCTAACTGCTCATTTTTTTCCCAATCAATATTCATTGTCTTTCTGGCACGGGTTAGCTGTGAAGTCAATAAAGAAACAGCATCTGGTAGAGGTCCGTTCTATGGCTAATCCGCCTGCAGCAGTGAAGCTGGCGCTGGAGTCCATCTGCCTACTGCTAGGTGAAAGTACAACTGACTGGAAACAAATACGTTCCATTATCATGAGAGAGAACTTCATTCCAACCATTGTTAACTTCTCTGCTGAGGAAATCAGGTAAAGCACAAGTGCGAATGATTTATGTGAATAAACTATTCACAAAGATACAGAAGGTGTTAACTGGACTTTTCTCTGTGTTAATCGCTTTAGTAGCTCTTGACTTCTTTTGAGATTAATTTGCTCCTGCAAGTAATGAATGTGTAGGAGGTACAGGAAACAGACTAGTGAAGCAAAGATGTGTTGTGCAAACTGTAACAAAAGAGTTGCCATTGAGTAATGTCAAGGCATGGTTGCAAAGCAGTGTGTTGCTATCCAAAGCCTCATTATTAGTTGAAAGTGGTTACGCAGCAAGAACAGACCAGGTTGCCAAGGGCTTTATCCGGGCTGGCTCTAAATCTAAGCAGGAGGTCAGGCTGGAGACCTCTTGATTTCCCTTTCAACCCCAAATTTTTCTGAGCGTAGTTATGCAGTTTGTGAGCAACTAATTCTAAAATGTTGTTAAATGCCTTTTATCATCTGTAACCTGTAATTTCTGAAGCAACATCTTGAACTAATTAAAACATCGCAGCTGCCAGTCAGCAAAACTGCTAGGAAATGTTCATGTCAGCTGTAGAAGGCAGGCCAGATAAAGGGATATTGAACACCTGTGTGCTGACATACAGGGTACTCATGCTATCCCTAAAAACTTTTCCCTTGCAGTGATGCTATCCGGGAGAAGATGAAGAAAAACTACCTGTCAAATCCAAGTTACAACTACGAAATTGTAAACAGAGCATCATTGGCCTGTGGGCCTATGGTGAAATGGGCAATTGCACAGGTAAAGTTGCTGTGGGAAAGCAAACATAAGGTGAAAAGACTGAGCCTGAAGGCATATAACGGTGTCTAAAGGCTCTGAATTTGCTTCTGTGGAACTAAATGTTGCAAACTACTTTGCATCAAAGAAATTGGTAGAAGGTTCAGGTGAATGCTTTTGGGCTCTATAGTACTGTGCCAGAGAACTAACAGCCGGTTGTGATGCAGCTTTCGCACCAAGAAACTCCAGGTAAACAATAGCTGATCCTTTCTGTATGTAGTGTCACTCTACAGGACAAGACAGTTCTCAGCTGGAAAATGCAATGCAATCCTCTTAATCAGACGTTGTCTTGCTTCAGAGTGGGGCATGCAGCTCTGTTAAGATCTGTTAGGCAGACTTTTAAATACCTGACTGGTTTCCTAAAGGAATAGTCTTTTGGGAAGGTGCCCCCAGGCTGAGATATCCCAGGATGGTTTCACTTACCTGTTGGTGTTCAAAAAAGTTGTTAAAACTGTGCCTGCTATGAGTGGCATAATGTCTAGAGACTCTGTTTAGCTTGAATCTTGCCATTATATCCTATCCTAATTGTTCTGTGGCTTGGCTGTACTAAATTCTTTACTAAGAAAGGCAGATTAGCTCAGTACTGGTGTGGACGCCCAATCCAGTATTTATGCAGAACAGTGCTGTACACTATTGAGTGCGGTCTCAGCCTTTCACATGACTTCCTGTAAGTCTACAGAGCAGTAAAAGGCTCTTGCAAAAAGCAGTTACTTTTGTGTCTGTGCTTGGTTTAAAGTAGAGTCTTAGGGACTGATAAACATCCTAAGTTTCTGTTAAGTAGCTATTAATTCTTACACAGGTTGTAAGTACCTAAGCTTGAAAAGATGCAGTTGATACTATACACCTGAATGCTGCTGTTCTTGTTGACATATGTCATTTTAGAAAGTATAAAGGGCCATTTACTGTTTACAGCTTAACTATGCTGATATGTTGAAAAGAGTGGAACCTCTACGCAATGAACTGCAGAAGCTGGAGGATGATGCCAAAGACAACCAGCAGAAAGCAAATGAAGTGGAGCAGATGATTCGTGATCTTGAGGCCAGTATTGCCCGTTACAAAGAAGAATATGCAGTACTGATTTCGGAGGCTCAAGCTATTAAGGCAGATTTGGCTGCTGTAGAAGCAAAAGTAAGACTTTGATATATTGGTACCTTTTCGTTCTTTAATTTGTGACAGTCAGAAACTGAACCATTCTTCAGACTTGTGAGCAGACTTGGTTGCTTTCTTTGTGCAGTGCTTCTCAACAGTCCATTTCATCCCTGGATCTCACAAAGCTTCTTAAGCTACTGAAACCTGGCTGGAGTTAGAAGTATCAACTCGTGTTGCTAGCTGATTAATGACACAGTTCACATAAATAAGTGGAAAGCTTTTGGAAACAGGCATGGATGTAGTGTAATTGTAATGTCTTAACTGGACTTCTCTTTTTTTCGGGTGAAGAATTTCTTGATGTATTTGATCTAATTGTTAGCATGTCACCACTATGCTAGTACTTAACACTGTTGAGTTCGTCAAGATAACGGTTAAACCCCACATTAACTCTGAAGAAACACAAATTTAATTTCATTCTGAGCTTTTAAATTTAACTTGGGCCTTGAGTCAACATTTAAATGTCCTGAGAGACTTGCAACACTATAAAAATTCATCATCTAAAGAGACCACTTGTTTCTAGGTAAACCGTAGCACAGCTCTTCTGAAGAGTCTTTCTGCTGAACGTGAAAGATGGGAGAAGACAAGTGAAACTTTCAAGAACCAGATGTCCACTATTGCAGGAGACTGCTTACTTTCAGGAGCTTTTATTGCCTATGCTGGCTACTTTGATCAGCAGATGCGTCAGAATCTATTCACTACGTGGTCTCACCATTTGCAGCAAGCAAATATCCAGGTAAAGATATGGACATGAGAAGTTAACCATAGATCAATTCACTGCAACAGTTAAGGAAGCTTTAAGATTGCGAAGTAAAGAATGGAGCTATTGATGAGAATACCTTGTAGGGCTGCATTTACTCAAAACATCTTCACCAGCTGGTTGGAGAATATCTAGTCAATTACTAACTGTATGTACTTGCAGTTCCGTACAGACATTGCAAGGACAGAGTACCTGTCCAACGCAGATGAGCGGCTTCGCTGGCAAGCAAGTTCTCTCCCTGCAGACGACCTGTGCACTGAGAATGCAATCATGCTTAAGCGGTTTAATAGGTATTTCATTCCTATGAAAGCTTCTCAAACATGTGTAAATATAAAAACTTCCATTCATCTTTGCTTGCCTTTTTTGTTATGCTTAGCTGTTAAGTTGGCTTGAACTGAAGCTATTTTGTTGTCCAAACACAGACTAAAGTTTTGAAACTCTAAACTGAAATAAGTCATTGAACCAGGCCAACTTATTCCTTCAATATACAAGCTTTTAGAGTTGAGATTAATAATGCAACCTAAATTCAGAAAACTGCTTAGAGGCTGTGTGCAGTCAAAACCCAAATAGTGAAAGTGTTTTATTACTAACTTAGGTATCCGTTGATCATCGATCCCTCCGGGCAAGCTACAGAGTTTATTATGAATGAATATAAAGACCGTAAGATAACTCGTACTAGTTTCTTGGATGATGCTTTCAGGAAGAACTTGGAAAGTGCCTTGAGATTTGGTAACCCACTTCTGGTCCAGGTTAGTTGCATGATCATGTAGAAACTATTTAAAATTCTAGAATGCTGCCCTGTGTACTAGAAAAGTTTGCAGTTGTTCTGTTAGTAAAATGCAAACAACCTTATTTTCAAACTGTAATTTCACAAGTAAACTAGTACTGAGTGCTACGTGAGGTGTTAGTCCTGAAAAAAATACGATTAGTGAGATACACAGTCAAAAGAAGATACTTCTTTTTTCCACCATTTTAAGATCAAATGCTTTTATTTTCAAATTATCTTTCTTTACTTCCACTCTATAAAATCGTTTACAACCTGGTTTTCTGTTCCTTTGTTCCCATATGCTTTCTCTAGTCATAGATAATAGAACCTAATATGGCTAGGTACCTAGAATTAAATCTACTCTGAGTAGCAGGACGAAGTTTCAGTAATACAAAGAAAAAGGCAACTGTAGGAATAGTTGACTTCGCTTGAAATGGAGGTTTTTTTGTCCCATTACTATGGCAATGGGAAAATAAAGGATTAGCTCACAGGTTAGATCAGTAACTGTTGCTTGTGCTGCTTATAATAGGGCTTATTATGCATTAGTACTAACAATTACAACCATTAATAATACTCTGCTAGTGAGGTTTTGTATAAGAATAGCCTAAACTCAGTAGCTCAACTACAAATCAAAAGTGGAAATACCTTCTGAATGTGATCCGTATTCAAAACCAACTGCAAATTGATTGCTGTTGGAGCTTTAAGCCCTAGTTGGATCCGGATTTTTAGCTGGATACACTTGCAAGAAACAGAATCTCTTAACACTTCTCTGCTTCTAGGATGTGGAGAGCTATGATCCAGTTCTGAATCCTGTTCTGAATCGTGAAGTCCGGAGAACTGGAGGCAGAGTTCTGATTACTCTGGGAGACCAAGATATTGATTTGTCACCATCCTTCGTTATCTTCCTCTCCACCAGAGATCCAACAGTAAGTAGAACAAAAGGCTGTCCTGTTTGTAGAAATTGTATGTCAGAGAGCTGAGAAAGTTTTTCTTGTTTCCTGTGATAGGTTGAATTCCCACCAGACCTCTGCTCTCGTGTTACGTTTGTGAACTTTACAGTAACTCGCAGCAGCTTACAGAGCCAATGTCTGAATGAAGTCCTGAAAGCTGAAAGACCAGATGTTGATGAAAAACGCTCTGACCTCCTCAAGCTTCAGGGTATGCTTATCAAAATTCAAGTAACTTTCTCCTGTTCTGCAAGAATACAGTGGTCTTAATGTAGCTGTAGAAACACACAGCTAAATATCTTTATAGCTGACACTCTTGCTTTTGCAGGATGTCCAATGGCAAAGTATACATAATGAATATAATTCTTAAAAACTAACACATCTATACAATATGTAACCTAATCTTTCTTCTAATTAAGGTGAATTTCAGCTGCGCTTGCGTCAGTTAGAAAAATCCCTACTGCAAGCGCTTAATGAAGTAAAGGGACGTATCCTGGATGATGACACCATCATTACTACTCTTGAGAACCTGAAGAGGGAAGCAGCAGAGGTCACTAGAAAAGTAGAAGAGACTGATATTGTCATGCAAGAAGTGGAGACTGTTTCTCAGCAGTACTTGCCACTTTCTACAGCATGCAGCAGTATCTACTTTACTATGGAGTCGCTGAAACAGGTAGGATGAGCTCTGCTTCGTAGCAGAAGCTTAATGTATTTACTCATCAAAGCTTGAATAGACACTGCCTAATTCCAGCCATGGCTGTCACGTTGCAGTGCCGTAGGCATAAGCCATTGGCTGTCAAACAGCTGGACTCGAGAGAAAACCATACTCTTCTGTCTTTCAGATACATTTCCTGTACCAGTACTCTCTCCAGTTTTTCTTGGACATCTACCACAATGTCTTATATGAGAACCCAAATCTGAAGGGAATTACAGACCATACTCAGCGTCTCTCAATCATCACAAAGGATCTCTTTCAGGTTCAATTTTGTAATTAGTACATGTACTTTAATTATTTTTGAAGGGTCGGAGTTCAAGGCTTCTTATGCTACCAACTTCACTGTTTTATTGGTAGGTGGCTTTCAACAGAGTCGCACGTGGCATGCTGCATCAAGATCATATAACATTTGCTATGTTGCTGGCCCGGATTAAACTGAAAGGCACTATTGGGTAAACATTTGTTTTCTCATCACTGTAGTTGAAAAGGGGAGGGGTGTATTGAACACACCTAGCGGAAGTCCTCTTTTTGCCTTAACATTAGGGAGCCTACATATGATGCAGAATTCCAGCATTTCTTGAGAGGGAAGGAGATTGTACTAAACACTGCATCTCTCCCAAAAATCAATGGTTTGACTGTAGAGCAAACAGAAGCAATGATGAGGCTGAGCTGCCTTCCTGCATTTAAGGACCTTGTTTCAAAAGTTCAGGCTGATGAGGTAAGTGTTGGCTTGGGTTTGTTTCTGCACTAAACTACCTAGTAAAGCTTTTTAGGTGTCTGCTTTAAGAGCTTCATGCTTGCAAGTAGGCTCTCCTAGTGTGAGAAGGGAAGCCTTACAGATTAACTAGTTGTAGGTGTTGTGGAAATGAATGTTTTTACTTCATTTGCAATAAAGCTGTGAAACTCTAGTTGTAAATACTGGCATTGTTTATCACTCAGCCTTAGAAGCAGCTTCACCATTTATCTAACTTTGCAGTCAGCTTTGGTTCCTGTGGTATCAGAAAGTGTGATAACTGTGTGTCTTTCACTGCATCACTGTTGTGTGATAATTCTGGAGCAGAAAGGAGCAGCCCTAGCCATACATAACATCATTATGGTGGGCTTTTGGACGTTACTGTTTGGAATAAATTTGGATAGTGCTCAGCTGCTGAACACTTTGCTCCTTCTGATGACCTAAGTGTTCTAAGAATATGTCTGTGTCCTGACTGTGAAACTGTATGTTCCAAAACACGTCCATATCTCAAATAGTACCTCTTTGGTTGCCCTGCCTAGTTTTTATATTAAAAGTGGAATTCTCTTTGCTGCATCTAATTTTCCTCAAACTTTTCAGCCTGGGGTAAAATACTGAGTCGCTTGGGCAGGGACTTGGTAGAGATCTGTAGAATCAGGGACGCTGGAGGCAATGCAGAATTAGGGGATATCAGTGAAATGATTGGACACATCTCAAGGAAGCGTAATAGACAAAGCATGGTTTGAGTTTTACACGTGCATCTTTGTTTAAAAAAAGCAACAGAACTTTCAGAAATTCATTGAAGAAAAATTAGTCAAGAACTTAATAAATGTGCTGGTCAAATTGCAGTCTTACTCAGGGAAACATTCAAACCATTTATACTTAGAAACCTTGGAAAAGACCAAACTGCAAGATGTTGGACAAAATTTGGGGCAAAGTTTAATGTTTGATTTAATGTCATTATTATAATAGTGCTTCTGTTTATCAGTGTTAGCCCTGTGTTATTTCTCATAACTTAGTCATAGATGGAAGCTCAAATGCTTAATCTGGTACTCAATCTAAATTTTTGTTCTGAAGACGGATAAGTTACAAGCATTCAATGGGAAAGATTTTATAAAATGGTGCATTTCATTGTTTACACATTTAGCTACTTATTAGAGTTTTTAAAGATCTGTTTGCAAATCCAAAGCTAGTGGAGCTTGGACTGTACCAAGTTCAACCCTTCCCTAGAAAGTACAGTCCAACCCTTCCCTAGAAATCTTTGTCTGCTACTGAAAGTTGGTATGTAGCTGAACACTTCTGCGTACAATAAATTCTAGATTTTAAGGCTGGCAGTGAACATCTCTGTTGCACCATGAGCAGGATCTGCACCTTGCAGCAGATTTTTGATACCATAAAACTCCATTTCAAGTCTTTTGCATCTTCTTTCAATGTAGCAATTCTGTATCTGGCTGGATAGCAGTTCACCAGAGCAGACTGTACCATACCTTTGGACTGAAGAAAAACCTGCAAGTAAGTTAAGTTGCACTATTGTCCACACCAATCCTACTGTACTGACTTAAAGCTAAGTAGAATTACTATGATTTTAAAGCAATTCTAAAATAGAACTTTAGTTTGGACCTTAATGCCTGGGAAAATCATAAAGTTGGGATTGTGGAAGAAACGTCTTTTTGTGGGCGTTTGGTTCAGCTTTTTTCCTCCTTAAAAAACCAAACTTTTGTAAGCAATAGTTATTATACTTGGTTCCTGCACCTTAACCTGTGATCTGGTCTTCCACTGAGGGTGAAATGTACTTCCACAATCTTATTAGGTTGCATAATGGTTTGGATTGACCTTAGTCATTGCAAATCTGGAGGCAGCTCAATACTCAGAAAGCTCCAAGACACAGATTTTCTCAGGACAGGGTTGATCTTTAGAATGTTTCCTCCTGCAGTTGTATCTAAAGTTGAAGTCTTAATTCTTGCTGTGTTTGTGCCAATTTAGTAAGAGTTAGAACTCAAGGGTAACCGTTACCGTTCAGTTCCTCCCCTATCTGAAAGGTAAAGTTAGGAAGTGTTTGCCATCTGTGATCATTCAGGGCTTATTCCTGTAGGTGGCTTTCTAAATTAAGGATTCTAAGCTTGTATTTATTAGCTGCCATAAAGCTGCTTGACCATTAACTGAAGCAACTCTAGGTTATCTATACTATCCATACTTAGACAAGTATGTAGTACTTCAACATCTAGGAGAATGGCAGATTATGGAAAGAGCGAGAAGATGTGAAGAAATCTGTTGTCCATGAAAGTTAAAATCACTTCATGGCAGTACTTGCATACCGTAGATTTTATAAATCAGTAGCATTTCAATAGAGTGCAATAGCATCTTGCCAAGGTGGGCTTTTAAAGGCCTCACAGCATGAGCAGGTAATTAAAATGTTGCAGAAGACAAATCAGCTAAAGATGGTAAGTTTCTTTCAATAGAATATAAGCATTCCATTATTATGTTGCAACAGATCTTTCAAAGGGATAATTAACTCTCTAAATACCTAGTCTTCAGAACAAGATGGAAAAAAAATGAATGGAGAATTGAGGAGAGGAAGGCGTCGAGGATGGTTTTCTTTCCTGTCCATCTAATCCTGTCTTCCCTTTTCAGCTCCTATCGGACAGGCCATTCATCGCTTGCTTCTGATCCAGGCCTTCCGTCCAGATCGTTTGTTGGCAATGGCACATGCCTTTGTTTCAACAAATCTTGGAGAGTCTTTCATGTCCATTATGGAGCAGCCTTTAGATCTGACGCACATCGTAGACACAGAGGTAAACCACTTGGATTTGAAAGTCTTAAAATCCTGGGGTAACACTTAGTGCCACTTTGCATGAGTTCCATGGTGAGTAAAGCTATCCACTGGAACATTTATTCCACTTATCCTTCTCCCTGTGATATGAGTGGATTGTTTTGCTGTTTGTTACTATAAAACTAAGAGTAGCGTGATGTCTTTAGCTGGCCGGAGGGAAGAAAGGCTGAGCTTACTGCATTGTTGTGTTCATGTATTGACTGATTCCTACCCTTTTAAACTTCTTGGACAACAGCTGAAGCCTAATACCCCTGTGCTGATGTGTTCAGTGCCTGGTTATGATGCCAGTGGTCATGTTGAAGACCTTGCAGCAGAGCAGAATACACAGATTACTTCTATTGCTATTGGTAAGAACATTGCTTATTTCATCATCTAAGCATAAATTAAGTTGTTAGCAGTAAGAGCTTTAGCAATTCTTCTGTCTTTTAGGTTCTGCTGAAGGGTTTAACCAAGCAGATAAAGCAATAAACACAGCAGTGAAATCTGGAAGGTAAGCTCTATCTCCTATTTCACTGCAGTACTGTCTAGCAGAAGGGTAAATGGGAGGTAAGGGGGAAGTAATCTGTTGGCTAAATAGATAAAAAAACGCTGTTGGGTAAAAAAAGGAGCAGGGGAAGGGACTCTGTCTTCTGAACTGAAATTTGTAATAATTTAAGCATAGCTGTTCACAACTTCTATTTGACTTACAACATATTTCTCTTGAAAATATTTATCTGCAAAACAGGGAAGTTAGCCCATTTACAGTACACAGTAACTGTTTCTATGTAGAAGACAGGTTTAAAAGAGGGAGAAGAACCTGTAGCGTGATGATGCTGGTTATAGCCAGGATCCATGAGCTGTACACTGAAAAGCGCTTGTTCCGTTTCAAAACTTCACAGATGGGTAATGCTGAAGAATGTTCACCTGGCTCCTGGGTGGCTCATGCAACTGGAAAAGAAGCTACATTCCTTACAACCCCATGCTTGCTTCAGACTCTTCCTTACCATGGAGATTAATCCAAAGGTAGCAATGATTTGCAGTTTGATCCTCTGCTAGACTAACAGGCTTGCAGAGCCAAGAGTGCTACCCAGGGAAGGCTTTCTCATGATGGCCTTTCTGCATTAAAGAAAAAGGAGAATACATGCTTTTCAGGGTAGTTACTAGCCTTGGTTTCTGATAACTTAATTGTAGCTGTAAACTTCTTACCATTCCTTTTACTGCTTCCCCTACCCTCCAAAAAGGAAGGCAGGACTTCACTGTGTGTGCTCACAATGAGGTTTTGAAGCTAATGCAAACTGTGCTGTTAGAGGGGTTTAATTTAGGGAAGGCTAAAGGAGTTGCATGTGAGTTTATTCATCTTTTCTAGGTGCCAGTGAATTTGTTACGTGCTGGCCGAATCTTCGTGTTTGAACCTCCTCCTGGTGTAAAGGCAAACATGCTGAGGACTTTCAGTAGCATTCCAGTTTCTAGAATGTGTAAGGTAGGTCTGTGGCTTGTGTAGGTGACAGAAAATGTCAGAACGAGTTTGCTAAAATCTTACCGTGAGTAATAAAACCTCCGCTTCTAAGATGTGCGTAGAATGTTTTGTTCTCACAGAAGTAAAGTAGTAGTTGCTTCTTCTGTTGTCAGAATGTATTCAATTTTGATAGCAATCTAGCATGAAATCTGGTATTTTCTAGCCATTTACCAGGCTTTTGATTTTTATCAGTTCAGTTGACTAATAGCTGTACGTATTTTTTTTTCTCTCCACTTCCTAGTCACCAAACGAGCGTGCTCGATTGTATTTCCTCCTTGCCTGGTTCCATGCCATTATCCAAGAGCGCTTGCGCTATGCTCCATTGGGTTGGTCCAAGAAGTATGAATTCGGAGAATCTGATCTGAGATCTGCCTGTGACACGGTGGATACATGGTTGGATGATACAGCGAAGGCAAGTAGTCTTGTGTACTTAGGCATACGTAATACTTAGATTACTTAAGAACTTCAGTAAGGCAGTCTGTTCTGGAAACATTTACTGAGTTAAATGAGTAGGCACAAATAACCTGATGGCAATTCAACTTAGTTCTTGAATTTGATTCCTTGATCAGAAGAGAGGTGAAAAGGACTGTTTCCTGCTAATTACATTGCATTGTACTTACAGGGTCGCCAAAACATTTCACCTGATAAAATCCCCTGGTCTGCATTAAAGACACTGATGGCACAGTCTATCTATGGAGGTCGCATCGATAATGAATTTGATCAACGCTTGTTAAACACTTTCTTGGAACGTCTGTTCACTACTTTAAGTTTTGATAGTGAATTCAAACTGGCTTGCAAAGTTGATGGACACAAAGATATTCAGATGCCAGATGGAATCAGGTACGCCTTTTCCTTATCCTGATCTCTGTGTACAACTTCTCTTTTTTTAAATCAAAACAAAACAAAACAAAAAAACCCTAACCTGTGTCTCTGTGCTGGAATTCAGCTGTGTAGACATTTTCCTCAGACAAAGAATTATTCATCATTCTAATGAGTATTAAAATTCTGACATGTAGGCGTGAAGAATTTGTCCAGTGGGTTGAGATGCTGCCAGATACACAGACGCCGTCCTGGCTGGGCCTGCCAAATAATGCAGAGAAAGTTCTTCTCACCACACAAGGTAAATCCAGTACTTTAACAACGTCTTGCATAAATTACCAGGCAACTCCCTCAACATAGTTGGCTTAACTTCTGCAAGGTAAAACACTCGAGCAGTCCAAACACTGACCAGAAGCTTGTGGTTTAAAAGAACAGTTACATTCAACCTTCCAGGTGTCAGGCTCCCATCTTGATTCTGGAAAGCTTTTTTGTCAGCTCTGGAGCCACCTACAGCTAGGCGGTTCAGAATCTTAGGTTTAGACTAGGGAAAAAGCAAAGTCCTAGTTCTTGCATGTAGTAGGGTGTTTTCATCCTGATGCCACTGCTACTCTGACTAACAGCATACCTTCTGCTTTAGGCATAGATATGATCAGTAAAATGCTGAAAATGCAGATGCTAGAGGATGAGGATGATCTAGCTTATGCAGAAACTGAGAAGAAGACAAGAACTGATTCTACATCCGATGGTCGCCCAGCCTGGATGAGGACGCTGCATACCACAGCCTCTAACTGGCTTCACCTTATCCCACAGACTCTAAACCATCTGAAGCGGACTGTGGAAAACATTAAGGTAAGAACTAGATTTTGTCTGATGCGAGCATAGGAACTGCACAAGTTCTGGTGCATTGGAACAAGTGCGTTGTGATTTGCAAGTACCAATTAAACTGATGGGGGGGGGCAGTGGAACCTATATCAATGCTGATTCTGACTACCATAGCTATGTAATGCCCTGCTGGGTTTCTTGAAACGCTCTGAAAAGTTGTTTTATGCCTTCTGGGGATTATTTGAAGAAATACAATGGTAAATTGTCTATCAAGGTTACCACTTCTGAAGCTTCTCTGTGATCAGGTAGCAAGAAGCAAGTGCTTCCTGTTGTGCTTGTAGCACACTGACTGCTACTTATGATACTGTCTTAGCAGCCAGTGCACATTAATTACTGCCAAAATTTAGTGATGGTTACTGAGAGAAGATAGGGCAGCAGCTGCTGCTAATTGGGAACAGAAATTGCAAGGGCTGGAGGAAACCTTTGAGATCCGGACAGTAGTAGCATAAGCTCTAACTTGGGAATAAGCTCCCTAGTTGAATACGCCCATGATTGCCTAACTGCTTCTAAAGACTTTGGGATAGTAGGTGAGAACCTTTTGTTGCTGATAAAAAGAAACTCAGAGTTGATTGGAAGGACCTGCAGCAGGCAGCCTGCATTAATTGTTCAACTAAGACTTTTACTTTCTTGCTCCTCCAGAGGAGAGGAGATTGTTGGCTGTAAAACAGTCTCTACAATCACTTTCTGCACCACAGGCTGCATCTTCATGTTGTGTGCTTGTAGTCACAGTGTCACTGGTCAGTCTGTCCAGCATTTTGGGGTTGCTTTTTGTAGCAGTTTTCCAGAAAGGACCTTGAACTTTGATCTGCAGCTTACTTTCAATGTTTTGGCGATCAGGATCCTTTGTTCCGGTTCTTTGAGAGAGAGGTGAAAATGGGAGCTAAGCTGCTTCAGGATGTTCGTCAGGACCTCGCAGATGTGGTTCAAGTGTGTGAAGGAAAAAAGAAACAAACCAACTACTTGCGTACACTTATAAATGAGCTGGTGAAAGGTATGGTAATTCAAATTAGTATCTCGCAGTGTTCTGTTTTCCTCTTGCGCTCTTCAAGTTAGAGGCTGTTATGATCACAGCTTAAAAAAAAAATTTCAGGAAAATTAGGATTGACTTTTACCCATTTCACATAAGCAATACTTTTGAGCCGAGCATAAAAATCCAGTTAGTTTGGTTTGGGATTTCAAGTTGAGGTAGCTAATATTAGGCTTTTTTGCATAGTTTATATCAGCAGCTTAATTTCTAAGCTGAAATCTTACTACGTTTTTTCAGTCTCTGAATTGCGATGGAACAAAGTTATTTATACCACAAAGTGGGTAATATTGCTCCTGTAAAATCTCATAGAAAATACTCAAGATCTCTAAACTTCTGTTTCCATATTGTACACAAACGGGGAATTTTCAGACATCCTACAGCTAGTAATACATCAAGGTTTGCTGTCTGCTTTGAACAAAAGCCTTTCCTGAAACAGACACTCAAGCTCTTCTTCAGTTTTTTATAAAGAACTCAAATCTTCACAAAAACTTGAAGATGGGTTACTGCAGTATATAGCTGTGTGTAACTGAAGTTTTGGTTGAAGGGTTTCTGTAACTGGATGGCATTTTAAATGAATACTAGACCAGGAGGCGGTTTGCTTTGTAATATTGGAAAGTGCTTTCACATACTGAGGAGCCTTTTAAGATGGAGGCTGATGTCCTGGTCCAAATCTTAGATGGCTATTGGGAGGAAAAGTGTGAAAATAGTGTGTAATTCCAACTGGTATGCAAACAAACAAATTAATTCTAATCACATTTTTCATAGGTATTTTGCCTCGTAGCTGGTCCCATTACACAGTGCCAGCTGGTATGACTGTTATTCAGTGGGTGTCTGACTTCAGTGAACGCATTAAACAACTGCAGAACATTTCCCAGGCAGCTGCTTCTGGTGGAGCAAAAGAACTAAAGGTATCTTGTGCTGACTTCTTCTAGAGGTTATATCTAATTCAGGTGGAGCTGCATAACTGCTTTATGGAGTCTTCACATCAAGACTTCTAAGTAGTTCCTCAGGCAAAACAACTTCAGCCTGCGTTCTCTGAAATGTGCTTGTAATACTGTTCAGTATCTTCTGGTCTCAAAATGGCGAGGAAACTTAGTATTTTAGAATGACAAAACATAGCCTTAGAGCAAAAATAAGTTTAGCAGTTACATAGTGTTCCAGTAACAGCAGGAAGATTTTAATGTTAATAGATTGCTAAAGTGATAATGATAATAATACTGCAGCTGATATCCTTTTTTTATTATTTTTTCCCCTCAAATAGAACATCCATGTGTGCCTTGGTGGCCTGTTTGTGCCAGAGGCATATATTACTGCTACAAGACAATATGTTGCCCAAGCAAACAGCTGGTCCCTTGAAGAACTCTGTCTTGAGGTCAATGTTACAACTACACAGAATGCAGTACTGGATGCCTGCAGTTTTGGAGTCACAGGTAAACTTACCAGAAAGGATGAGGTTCTTGCTCTAAAATACTTTCAGAAGCTTCTGGTATTAAATGGGCTGTATCAAATGAAAAAGATCATATCATTGCAAAAATGACAACACACTTTCTGAAGTTGTTTAAAATTAGTTTGATAGTAGTTAGCAGGGAAGTACTTATAATGCTTATAAATCTCAAGACTCCAGTCAGTATATATTTAAGCAGTATTGGATAGTGTATCTGCTACAACCTCTTTATTTTGAGGTATGAAATATTTGCCTCTCATTTAGTGGACATAGACAGCCCTTAAATGATACATGGGGAAGACCGTCGTTGTCTGGAGGTGTGAAAGCTCTTAGAACTCAAAAGTGTATTTCAATCTACAGGCCTGAAGCTTCAGGGAGCTACATGCAGTAACAACAAGCTGTCGCTGTCGAATGCTATTTCAACTGTATTGCCCATTACACAGCTTCGCTGGATCAAGCAGACAAATGCTGATAAAAAAGCAAATGTTGTAAGTATTGATAAAAATAGTTTTAAAAAGAACTCAGATCTACCTAGTAGTTTTTTTCCCTGAAGCTTTATGGATACTTTTATCAGGCAACACAAATCAAATTGTTCTTTACTAATATTCTCAGTGTCAGCTGGTACCTAAATTCTGGGCTAGCAGCAAACAGACCTAGTGTTGACTAGGTCTTTCTGTTGTAGTTAGATAAGAAGAAGGAGACATCCAAAAATACTAGTGCTGTTCAGGCAAAAACTTGAATTTATAGCTATAAAGGCTGTGCTTTAGGTGAATTTATTAGGCCTGTTGTTTTTCTCATATTTTGAGTATGGAGTTATCTGAGACTAAATTCCTATCTCATAAGTACTGGTATTCTAGAAACTTCTTAGCTCTTCAGCTGCCTTACGTAACTCTTCTTCTATATTCATGTTTTTCCCCAGGTTACTTTACCGGTTTATCTGAACTTCACTCGTGCTGATCTGATTTTCACAGTTGACTTCGAAATAGCTACCAAGGAAGACCCTCGTAGCTTCTATGAACGTGGCGTTGCGGTTCTCTGCACTGAGTGAAAAGATTCGTTTTGACTAGTTAAAGCTGTAGTAATTGTCAGTCTTCTATGTGTAGTATTCACCTGTACTTTTGTAACCTGGTTGGTGAGGTAGTCAGATGGATTTGTGTTAAGCAGAAAGAAATGGGGCAGGGCTTTGGACAGCTGATAGGCTAGATGTCTTCGAAGGAAAAGTGGATGAGATTTTTAGACGGTTATTGATAGATGTGATATTTGATGGAACATGTTATATGAAATAAAATCCATAGCAAAACTTTTGACTCTACTTCTGGAAATAAAATTCTTACCGTGTTGTGGGTTTTTTTCCCTGGAAATGATCCTTTTTGGATAATAACAAGTAATAAGTCGGTATTGAAGCATATTGTTGACCTTCACACAGCTTGCTCAGCAGCTGGTTCAGCTAACCTCCAGTAACAAGAACTTGAAATGTGCAAGTCTTCAGTGCAGTAGGACACAGAGCCTAACATTATCTACTGTGACATCTGATGACATCGCATGAATTATTTGCAATGAGCTGGCTCTCGCTTGAAATAACACATGTTTACACAGCTGCTGAGATGCATTCAGAAGCTGGAGTATCCTAAACAACTTTCTTGTCCTTTTGACCCACAGGGCTTCCTCTTTTTTAAGCTGTTTTTATGGTGAAATAAGGCTCCAGTTTCATGTCTGGTTAACCCCAGGAGGACAGTATTAAATGCTTAATAGAGGAGTTACAAGCTTATTTCAGAGACTCATGTGTGGCTAACTGTTACCAAATTAGGGTCATCAGGCAAGCATTTCTGCCCTCCTGACCAACCTGTCAGAACAACTGTCCTCTCTGACAGTGGCTAATATCAAGTGTTTGAAGGTGCATGTGAAGAATACAGGTGCATAGCTTTTCAATCTCAGAACTCTCAGGCGCTCCTTCCTTGCAGTGATGTCTCTGTGAAAGCAGTGACGTTCTGAACCTGCATTAACTCTCATGTTTTCTCTGTGGTAAGTGGTTCTACAGCACAGGCTTGTGCTGGGAGGAAAGTTTTATTACCTCAGCCTGCCTCACGTGCTTGTTTCAGTTGATGCCTAAATAGAGTTACTGCTGTCTGCTCTTTCCATGCTGTTCTGTAGCTCCTGTAGTTAATCTGTGTAGGTTGAGTTGTTCTGTCTGGTTTTATTCCCTTGTAAAGGGTGAAGCCCACACCAGTGCATGATGTAATCTTTGCTTCTTGTAGTTCCCATCCAGCTTTGAGGAACTGAGAAGGGAACTACGTGTATCATCCAAGACTGGTTTTAACCATAACCTAACATTGTTGTTCTGTTTCAGTTGCTGAGTTGCTTTCCTTTCCATCAGCAGAATATTCATATCTGGCATCTGTACTGTCACTTTTTCCAGGAAAACTTGAAATCTATTGTATAGTGAGGAAGCAGATCTCCTACTGCTAGCAGTGTGCTGCTTTTTGTGCATGTTCAGCACCTGAGCTGTGGCACCAGCTTACAGCTGCTATAAAAAATCATGAGTTAAACCAATTTCACATATTAGTAAGTAATAATGGTGGCATTAAGAGAGTCTCAAATACGCTTGAAGTAGCTAGAGCTTCCCCAACTATTCAGCTCTTCATACATTAACTTCTGCATTAGGCCTGAATTAACAAAAGGTGCATTTTCAGTTCAGAATTTAATCCACAGTTGGTTCTCATAGGGAATTAAGCAAACTTTGAATGTCTCGGTAAATACCATCCCATGTGGCTTACCCTTCAACTGGCTTCCCTCATGAATGTTCCTGTATTATTTTTTCTAGTAGATTATTTATTTCCCTGTGCGGTGTTGAACAACTGGTTTAAGTGAAATCCTCACCGGATGAGTTCAGGGTTCTTGGCTGCAGTTTGAAGGTCAGTAGGTCAGTTTTATTTGGCCTCCAGTTAGGTAGTTGAAGGCCACACAGCAGACAGCTAGGACTTCAAAGGGTACGACTTCCCTGGCATGGGGCTGAAGGGCTTGACTGCACCACCACGTTGTATTTTTGAACCTGGCAAAACCAGTAGCTTGTGTCTCTGGGCAAAGGCCTCCAAATCTTATTCTAACTAACTGCTTTGTCTCCAAGCTAATTAAAACCATCTCTATCTCCAGCTTGGGGATAAGGGAGAAAGCAAAGCTGCCTTAATAACATAAATATGGAGGTGTTAGTGGAAGGGTGCAAGGCTGGAAGCTAAATAGTATTTTGAGTGGCTTTCCACCTTATGAAAGAAACCGCAAATTAAAAACTCTCTGCCAGTCATACAGAACAAACGCTTTCACAAGGAGTTGGTACCAACTTATTTCAAGCCATCACTGTACTTCTTTTATAGATAGCAGTTTCCCTTCCACACAGACTGCCCAGGCTCTACAGGAGATAAGGGAAGTGACCATACAGGAGAGCGAGGTCAGCGGTACAGTCTTTGCTGACTAACTGGCCTCCTGCCTGTGCACGCCACTGCTGCGGCTCACACTGATTGCTCTCACCAGGGAAGCAGAGTGCTTTCAGCTCCTGTTCGCCTTCACAGTGTAGATTCTGAACTGGCAGGCAGACCAAGACTGTGTACCTAAAACATTATTCAAAACAGGTAGGAACAGACATCTTAATAGCACAAGTCAACTTCTTCCTGTTCAAAGAAAAAAAATCATCAAGGCTATATTGTCTTTAGCTGCAATTAGTTCAACTTAACAAAGTTCAGTTTGTAGTCAAACCTGCAAGATTAATCACCACAGAGCCGCTTCTCTCACACAGGCCAGGCACAGGAGGAGCCGAACTCAGAAGGGAAGCTATAGCTATTGATAACTGCAGCCGCCAGTCACTCCTCCTTCCCTCCTCAACACACCTTTGTAATGCGTTTTTGAAATGACACTGGAACTGAGCAGGCACCTCCAGGTACCAGACACAGGAGTCGGGCTCCTGCTTCCAGAGGCCCCAGGCACCAGAGGAGCACCCAGGCGTAAAGCTCAGCTGCCATTCTGTGGCCGTACCTCAGCTAGATTCCACTTAAGTCGCCACACAAGCTTGTTTAATCAATTCTGTCTTTTCAGGCGGATCGCAAAGCCTGCACTACACAGCGCAGCTGCATTTGTAACAGGCCTTGGCTGGTTTGCCTAAAGCCTGGTCAGTTCGGGTACCGTCTGCAAAAGAAATCTCTACCAGGTTCATTCTTCAGAACACGTCGTTTGTCCAATGGTTTTTTTCATACCTCAGATTAAGTTGTACGGAATTTCTTTCTTCTTAGTTTTTCACTTGCACCCTCTGGAATGGGAATCCCTAGTTTTCTTTTAATTAGGGGCTGTTTGGCCACCGTGCCATCAGAGCCAGCTGCTAGTATGGATTGTGGAGCACTGTCACCTGGGCTTACCAGATCTGCAGAGACTGAAGAGCTGATACTCATCTGCAAGGAAGGGTCAGGCATCAGCCACATGGAGGCAAGTGCTGCTCTGGCTCTAGTGAGTTCAGAGGGTTGTAACAGGCTTCTCTGGAAATCCTCCTCTTGGTGAGGAAGTTCCAGAGGTGTTTTACAGTCCTTTACTGTCTGAATGTCACTGACTTTTGTTTCTGGGCAGAGCCAGTCTGGAGGTTTAGGGACGGACTCTCCATCTTCTGAAGTGTCAGCATCCTCCAAAGCCATTGCTTTTGGGGCACTGTTCGCCCATGGTGCAACTTTTATACTATTCAAAGAATTCAAGCTGCAGTCAGAGTGAGTGGGTGCATCTTCTGAATCACCATCATAAGGATCTAAAAACTAACATAAATGTTTCTTAAATACAGTGGATGATTATTTGTTTATAAAAAAATATAAAAGAGGCAACATACAGCGGGCTTTAAAAACACTTGCAATGCAAGCCACAGATGTGCTATGGAAGTTTTTCTGTTTATCCACATGTTCCCACATACGGTTTAGTTTTTGGGTGCTACGCTGGTAGCGGGCTGCTGCGTGACAGCCAAACCTACCTGCAGTCCCCCAGAGTCCCTTGCTTTCCCGAGTCCTCCAGCAAGTGGGCTAGGCAGGACCTGTTTGAGAGAAGCTAATGTAGGTTTATCAAGCACCTTCCTATGAACTGTTGATCAAAATAAAACCAGAGTAGGTGAAAAATCCTAGAGAAGAGAAAGCCAGATTGAGCCCTTGCTAAAAGACAGTAAGAAGTGCATCTCAGTCTTTTAAAGGCCTAGCAAAGTCAGCCTAAATTAGAGAGACTCAGGAGAGTCTTACTGCACTTAAAACATTGCGATGAAGAGACCAGTGAGTAGTTGTATACTTTACCACGAGAAGAGCAAACCAAACCAGCATTTAACTAAGAGTAGGCAAGATGTATTTCAGAGTTTAGAGATCTTCTCTCCCACTCAGGTCCCTTTTTGTTCTTTTGCATAGGGGTGCTCCGAAATTCTTCCTTCTCGGTCGGATTACAAATTTGCTGTCATTTGGAGAGTTCCACACCACAAAGCCAAACCAAGTCCTTTCAGTCAATCTCAGCATCACTGCTGCAACACCAAGGTTTCAGGCTGCTTTTCCCCATGTTGTTAAACTTGTCACGGACTTGTCTAGACCTGGACCAAGAACTGTCTTCGTGAATTTATGTTTGAGAACCTCATCATTATGAAATAGAGCTTATAGTCTGGGTCTATTTAAAAAAAAAAAATATATATATATATATATATAAAAAGCCCCCCAGCCCTGGCCTGGCACCTGCCTCAGCACCTGTGGTGAGAGCAACCAGCTCTTTGTCCAGGCTGGCACCTTTGCAAGCCCCTCTTCCACCCAGTCCAGCCAGACAGCTGAAATTCCAGCCTTGGTTCTTCCAGAAGGAGACCACAGACAACTCCAGCTTGCTGGAAGGTGAAGTGGTGGCAGGTTCCTGGCAGACAGCTTCTCTAAGCCACGGAGCACAGCAAGCCACATTGGCTAACAGCAAGCATCAATTCTGAAGACTTTTACCCAGAAATTTAGTTCTCCACTCCAGAATCAGGGTGCTTTTTTCCATAAGCATTAAACACACTGTTTTGACAGAGCAATGCTCAGGAAGTTGCCGACATTCATAAGTAACTGCCACAGCAACAGAGCTGCTCTCTTAATCTCATCCAAAATGGACAGTCAGGGGAAATCCCACCAGACCAGAGCTGCTGAAAGCTAACCACCAGAGACAACCCAGTTCAGCTCTAAGCACTTCTTAGCAGAGAAGCACTTATGCTACATTTGTCTGCCTAAAAAGACTGCTGCTTTCCAACCTCATCCTCCAGAATCAATTTTGCTAAAATTATCA